AAAAGAGAATAAAATAGATACTCAGACACTTGCAGTGTGTTCTATAGCAGTCCAAGCCTATAGTAATCTGAGCCTAAAGTACTCTGAATTGATAAAAGTCAGAGCCTATAGCAGTCCAACCTTTACCAGCTCAAAACTATAGCAGTTCAAACCTATAACAGCCCAGGCCTTTTAGAATCTGAGCCTATAGCAGTACAGGTCTAAGGACTCTGACCCTTTAGCAGTCCAAACCTATAGCAGTTTGAGCCTGTACCTGTCTAACCCTATAACAGTTCAGGTATATAAGAGTCTGAGCCGATAGCAGTTCAAACCTATTGCACTCTGAGCTTATAACGGCCTGAGTCTATAACAATCTCAGCCTATAACAGTCCAAGCCTATAGCAGTCTAAGCTTTTAGTAGCCCAGGCCTATCAGAGCCTGAGCTTGTGGCAGTACAGGTCTAAGGAGTTTGACTCTATAACATTCTGAGCCTATCACAGACGGACCCTATATCTGTCTGAGCCTATAGCTGTCTAACCCTATAACAGTCTGGGCCTTTTAGAGTCTGAGCCTATGGCAGTTCAAGCCTATAGAAGTCTCAGCTTATTACAGCCTGCACCTATAACAGTTTCAGAATAAAGCAGTCCAAACCTATAAAAGTCTGAGCCTATTACAGTCTCTGTCTGTAGCAGTCTGACCCTATGGCACTCTGTTTCTATAGCAGTTCAAGCTTTTAGCATTCGGAGTATAAAGCAGTCTGAGCAGTTTGAGCTTATAGCGGCATAACTAAGAGGTAAGTTTCATTTCTCTTTCTGCTGTTTGCTTCTTGGATCCAGACTGGTAGATGATCATAAAAAAGACTGGCCTGAGCACTGGAGGCTCCTCTTCTCAAACCACTTTTAAAGACTGTAGGTTTGACAAGCAGGCGTGTATGCAGGGAGAGGGATGTGATGGTGTCTGACCAAGAGGGACTTCGCAGATCAGATGAGAAGCTAACTACAGGAGAGATATGTTTGCTTTTCTTTATTCGAGTCAGCCACAACATTTAGGAACAGCTCAGAGTTTTATTTTTTAACCAAAAATTACAATCATCCAGAAAAAAGGAAACAAATGCAAGGACTAACTTATTCTCTGCATCAGTCCGAGACAGAATATGTCTTACTTTCAGGATACTGCAAAGGTGAAAAAGGACGGTGGTGGTTTAAGTGTGTGGCATACCTTGAAGTCTTTCAGTGCACATAATAAAAACTGAGTGAAGTGGCATCACTCTGTTTGTTTAGTCTTTGTGTGAGCAAATCTAGCCTGGCAGTACATAAAAAGAAAGTTAGAAGTTATAGATTAGTGTTATTGAAGTGTTGTTTTTATCTCCTATAATTAATGTCTCACACTTTTGTGCTCTGATGAAATCTACTGACAGTAATATCTGTGTAAATATGATAATGAAATCATGGTAAAAGACCAGTTAGTTCAGCGCTTCACTGTGTTTGTTAAATGAACTTTTAGTGAATACCGCCACCTGCTGGAAAAAGGAGAAAATATTCACCTGAAAAAGTAAAAGTTAAGTTAAAACTCTCATATTGAAGAGGTATTTTAATTCCAGATCAAAATCTCACTAAGGCAGCTGCAAAATGAGGGTCAAAGTATCTGAGTCTATCTGCTGTAAGTTCTTGCTTCCATCCACCTCCTTCCACTAATCGGAGGCCGGGTCACTGTTGCAGTAGGTTAAAGTGAGGTGACCCGGTGTTACCTCTCCCTGCAGTGGCATTCTGAGGTGCTCCAAGTCCAGATGGGGTTCTTCATAAAGCTCAATATTTATAGTTTAATAATATTTCTGACATGTTTGTCTTTCGAGTTTGGGATTTCAAACTATGTTTAAAAATTTACCTTCTCAGTTTCTTCTCCCTGGCTTTCAATAAAGGGTCTGTGGCCAGAAACAAATAAACTAAAATCAATATTCATAAACCTCCAGGGAAAAAAAATCCTCCCCTTAAAATTCTAACTTGCAGGTTGAATTTTCAACAGATCAAGCCCTTCAGGACTGAAAGTCTAAATAAAACATCAGATCAGATGTTCGAAACAGGAAGCAGGTTGCATGCCTTGGAGTGGCTCGCTGCAGTAAAACCCGGGAACAGTTTTTTATTAGGTTTGAGATTTTATTTGGAAGGGGGCAGCGTGTCCTTGTGAGGAGGCATCTTTTTGCAGTCCTCATTTCCTCCTCTTAAAGTTCCTCTTATATTCAGTCAGGGCTGGTTTGGGGTTCAGGTATGCATGTAAAACAACAGAATCAGAGCACAGTTAAAGGTAAGGCAGAGCTGCAACACAACAGGAGGACTAGAGCATCGACTCACGGCGGCGCGCTCACTCTGAGGTTCATTCAGCCTCATGTTATTATCAGACTGATGGCATGATGTGATGATGCTAACAACAAAAAAATTGAAATATTTGTCATTCACAATTTTCTTTCTTCATGACATCTTTTACCTTTTGTAAAATGTTGATAAAAACAGAATTTGATGATTAGTAGATCATGCATAGCCAAACTGAAAAAGGGGCAAAGACAAAATATCAAATATTGAAACTGAAAAATGCTATTGGTCAATGAAAAGTGTATGCTTAATGTTAAATTTGATGAAAATAGTTGGGACTGGGGCAGGTTTAACATTGTATTGCACCACCTCCTCTCTAAACAACACTTGGTAAATGTTTGGATACTGAGGAGAAGTTTCTGGAGTTTGGAAAGGGAAATGTTGCCCCATTCTTGCCTGATAAGGATTTCAGCTTCTCCATATTTCAGGGTCTCCCCTTTTTTCCATTTTGTTTCATGGTGCCCCAAATGATTTTGACTGCAGGCAGGCCAGTTTAGCGCCAGGACTCTTCTACTACAGAGCCATACTGTTGCAATACTTGAAGAATGTGGTTTAGCATTGTTTTGCTGAAATATATACAAAACATTTTTCTGAAAAAGCAATGTCTGGTTGGCAGTATGTGTTGTCCAAAACATGTTTTAATGGAGGTATGTGCATCTCTATACCATCAGGGATGTTTGTTTTTTTATTGTGTGCTGATAACAAGTCAGGTGGCCTTTCCATTCTTGCTGCATCCACGATTTCCAAAAAGAGTCAGATCACAGTTTCCCACGTTTCCTCAGTCCATTTTAAACAGGCTCAGCTGGGAGAAGCCGTGGGTGTTTCCAGATCCTGTTTAAATGAGGTTTCTTCTTCGCTTCTGTGATAAGATTATGTCCTTCAGATGATGAAAACTAAAGTCTTGGTTTCATCAGTCTAAACTGAAACTTCATCGCAGGTTCTTTAATTATAGTTTCAGTGCTTTGTGGTCAAATGATAGTGGGAGTAATTCATCATCAATGAGATCCGAGATGGTGAGTGATGGTGTGAGTGATTCAATTATTCAGAGCAGTCAACAATAGGAAATGATGATAACATCAGCTGCTCTGCTCATTTATACTTCTGAATTCATGTCTTGCATCCTTATTCCGAATGAGTCAGTAGAACAGAGATTAGATGTAATCCCTAAAACAGAATAATCTGTGAATAGACATAAACCTATGAAAAATTCACACTGCAGTGATTAAAGAAAAGTTTTGTGAGGTTATCGTCCTGTACTCTGATTTCAGCCTGCATGTTGGGTCAAGAGTGTCAAATTTACTGTCTGTGCTTCACAGATTAGCATTTGAATGAGTGTTTTAAAGTTCATTAGTGTTATAAAGACAAGCAAGCATATTTTTATGTTAGCTTTACACGCAGGTAAAGTGAACTCACATGGATGAAGAGTTTCACAGCTTGTTTCTTAAAGAACTCTCTCTCTTACACACGGTTTCATAAATAACTGAGGACTCAGTCTTTTAGCTCATCTGCACCATATTTGTCATCAGAATCAAGACTGCGAATTTGTCATTTTAGTGCAGGCATCTTGATCCTCATTCTTTAACACCTTATATGATATTGAAGATCCTAGTCAAACCATAGCCTGTAATAACTTATTTCCCGTAATATTCCAACTTACTTTTTGAAAAATTAACATTTAAATCTTGCAATTGTTTGAAGTTAATCTCATTTTATGCCATAATCCCAGGAGATTTGAAACTTTTTCAGTCACAACTGTATCTCAAATAAATGTATTTTATCTTGTACTTTTGAGATTATTCTGGCTAATTTTAAACTTTTTTGACATGTTAGTTTATAACTTTGACATCAAACATTCAAGGCTTTTCTCATATAGAAACTACTTTTCTTTTTAGCTGATTCAAGACAAAATTCAGAAATCTGTCACTTTATTCTAATAAATTTATGACTTCATCTCTCTCTCTTATATCACAAATTTAAGACGTAATTAAAGTACATTTACCACTTTTTCTTGTTAATTAGCAACTTAATTTTGGATTATGTGACATAATATGAGAAGTTCACAAGTTATTAATGTTTATCTCAATTATTGCGACTTCATTCCTACAATATAACAACAATATAATGACTTAATCCTTTAAATTTAAAACTTGAAATCTTAAGTTTTCTGAATTTCTTGATGGCTCCTGTCTTCAATCACAACAAAGACTTCTTCACATCATTGAATTGATTCAAATTACAGTTATTTACTCTAACTGCTTTGATCGCTAAGTGTGTTTTCTGATTCATGAGTATTTCTGGGTGAACCATTTCATCATATTTGGATATGAAATGGATATTTATGAGTGATCTTTTGTTAGGCACACATTAAATAATTAAATAATCATTAAATGTTGGTAGATTTGGCAAAAAAAGAAACTTTTAAAGACCTTTAGATGAAATGATAGTTTTATTGTTTCACCTGACATATTTGGATCACCTGATTGTGTCCTGAGATCTGATGATAAGTAAAACTCTCCTGCAGCTGTGCCAATGTTACTGTGCACTCTTCCAAAAGCAGTCCGAGTGATTTTCGGGTTATCGCGGGTTAGATTGGATTATGCTTTGGTTACATAAGAGGGCTCACCAGGATTGGTGGCCTAGTATGAGCATGCGCAGATCGTCGCACCTACCAACAATAAACCGTAAGCGTGTTTACGGAATTTAAAAACATCAGAAAGTTTTAACGGGAAGAAGAAGCTTCGTGTGCAGAGCTGAGGTGAGTCTGTGTGTATTCTTGCAGGTAGTCTCTGTGTGTGCGTCTTCGAAAAGTGTGTGTGTGCGCTCTGGTTGTTGTGTGTACTCTTTGTGCACGTATGGATTTAGGAGGCAGAATCGAGGACGGCCGCGGCATCTGCTGGAGTGGAAAGCAGGCAGGCATTAAATTTAGACTATCGCGAGCCTGTGCAGCTCTCTCTGAGATTTTGTGAACACACTCAGCACAGAAAGTCAACTCTAATTCGCAGGGAGCCGCGGGGCACGACCTACACACAACTACTTCATTTTAATCTGGAACAAAATGTTCTGAATTCAAAGAGCCCACAGGAACTCAGAGCTTCTGCTTATTACAGATTCAGTTTTTAGGGGATAAACTGTTAATTTATTTTTTAAAGTATTTTTAAAAGTGAAGCACATTTTGTTTTACAACCCGCAGCCTCCTTATTGATTTGGAGTTTTTGCGCACTTATTTCTGTGCAGGATTTGGAGCACTTTACACTCTTAAGAGCGCAACTTTCTCCAACTCTCTGCTTTCTTATGCTTTATAATATCTCAGTTCAGAAGAAATAAGTGTCTAAGAAAGTTAACAGATCAAACATGAGTATGAAATTGGTTTAAAGTTGTTTTTATTCTTCGTTTCGCTCTTGGGACTCCCTTTGGCTCTTCATCACTCGTAGCGTGGCTGCAGGAGAGCACACACCCACCCGTCTCCGAGCTCTTTCACACACCCACCCCCACTCGATCACACACACACACACCCACCCAGTCTTTTCCCATCTACCGTGACTGTGGAATTCTTCAGGTTTAGCGCGTTTTCTCTCAGTCAGAGTGAGCTCTTTGTCTGCTCCAGTTTGTGCGCCACACTGGGACAAGTGCGCACTCAGCGCTCCTTTACGCGCTCTCTCCCTCTCTCTCTGTTCCTCCCTGTCAAAAATTTAACGAGCCTGTTTTCCTGGAAGTTTCATGGAAGTCTTAAAACGCATTTTACTTCAGCTTTGCATGTTAACAATGCGAACATAAAGCAGAGGAAGGCAAGAGCCACTCTGCGTGCCCTCTTCCTCTTATCAGAACATCGTGTTCTAGAAGTCCCTGTGGTTTTTCTGTCCCCTTCTGTGTCTCTCAAAGTCACAACTTCAGCAGAAAAACTCTCAGGAGTCCTGTCTGTATTTTCTTGTATTGGGTTTGTTGGAGTTAACAGCAGAAAGATGCAGATAGTTGCAACCAGGGTGTGGAAGAACAAAGGTTAAATGTCAAACTGGCCTGTTTGTTTTGAAGTCCCCTCCTTAGAGAAAGCTCCTGGTGCACACACGGCTATAGTGTCACTGCTAAATGTGAAACAATCCCACATGTGAAAGTGTGAAAGAAACTGGGAATGTAAATTATTCCTATTTGCATGCTTATGCTGGCTGTACTTCATAACTCATGAATGTGGAGGTAATATTCCTGTTTTTTGCAGTGTCGTATACTGATGTAACAGCCTCTTCTGATTTAAAATCCTCTTATTCTTCAACAAAAAGCTCTATTTCTGTCAGGATGCTTTCTGTAATATCAGATACAAACAGTCTAAGCGTGTCAGGGACAAAAACAAGATCATTACAGGGTGGTATTTGCAGCATTGACAGCTGAAGAAATCTCTTGTGACTTTTCCTCATGTCTTTATTCCTTTTGGTGATGCAGACCTCATAAAAACTCTCCAAAACCCCCCAAGATTGGTCTGTGATGTAACTGAAGTTAGACAACTCCTTCCCCTCCCCCACTCTCTTCCTGCACAAAATGGTCATCTTCTGCACAGTCAGTGAAGTGTTAAAACCTGCGGTCATTTGGAAGAGACTTTCCTGGTACCTTCTGGCCCATTTAGAGAAAATAATTTAAGGATAGATTATCAATCATAATTTTATTTCCAATGGGACTTAAAATGTCAATTTCAAGAGAGTTTAGGCTTAGAGCTGTTTAAAGAAGTTTCACAAAAGAAAGAGCAGTAGAGTAACTAATAGAGCCTTCTTTTCTGCAACCTAAGTCCTGAAGAGACACATGATTCTTCCTCTTCTGCCTCTCATCTTGTCTTAATCCATCTTTTGATATCGCCTCTTAGTTCACCTGCACACTCTTGAGCTGGATTATGTTTGTTTTGTCACATCATTAGCTGCAAAAGTTTGTAGTCATGTGCATACTGTGGCACCTATGCTGTCATTTCGCTCAACTTCTTCTACCTGTGGTTAATATTTTGCAATACAAGTGCATCCCAGTGCAAAAATGTGACTTCACTGTCCTGAAATATCCAACATTTGAGACTAATGTTGGAGAAACATTGAGGGTAATGATTGCCACGGATTCTCATATGCAACATAAGATTTTACGCTTGGTGTTTACACGCTGATGTGAGCAAAATTTACTCAGACCCCTGAGGGTGAACCCCTGGCAAAGACAGTCTTAAAAACTTCTATATTTTTCTCAGGGAGCTCACATCCTGTTAGCAGAGCAGGAAAACCTCGAACATTTACTGACTGAAACATTCTTGCATTGTTCTGAAATGGACCCACAGTCTTTGGAGATCTGTAAAAACTCAATGAGGTGTTTCCATCGTAGAGGTAAGTGAAAGTTGATAATTAGAGTATAATTTTGGTGTTAATGGTGGAATTTATTAAGGAGTTTCCACCATTTGGGTTTAGAAAATGCTGAGCTGTTGTACCAACTTGTTTTACAACTCCTCAGACCAAACAGTGAGTGTGTGTACGCCAAGGTGCTGAATATAGAGCAGTGTTGTAGACACCATGAGTGGTGTGTGTGGTTTGTGGATATATGCTCGGTATTCACTACTCCCCTCCCCCGAGGCAGCGTTCAGCAGAGCCGAGCATGCTCCTGCACACAAACACACAGTCTACTGCCAATGCTGATGATTCTCTTTCTCTCACTCACAAAAGACTGACCGGACTTTCTGCTTTGCTGCTGATTGTCTCTGACAATGTGCAAGTGTGCGCATGTGTGCCTGTGCTTGTGTGTGTCTCCAAAATGGCTTTGAGTGTGTGGCATGTGTGGTTTTTCACTGATTGGCTGATTTTCACCTCAAAATTGGATATTTGCTTTTAGAGGATTTAAACTCTTAAAATGCCTAATGGTGGAGTGCAAACAAGCAGTCCTGTCTGGTAAAGTTTGGTACAGTAAACCCTTATATTGCTTGGGTTTCAACTAGGGAATTTTCAAAGTTGGCAACTGTCCATGGGAATTAATGGGAATAAATTTGAAATTGACAAAATTGAAGGTTGGCCCTCAACAGGGAACTTAAATGTAGTTGGGGAAAATATATTGTAGCATTATTTTGTCTAAAAAACAAGATTTAATGCAAGTACACTCCTCAATCACAAAGACATTTGAGCCCACAGACAATATAAAGTCAAGTAAGTTTTTCCGCCCCTTTGCAACCCTAGTTTCAACAATCAGCTGTAACCTCCAGAGTCCACCCCAGATCCACCCTTTAGAGATGGATTGGTCCACTTGGTACCCCAACTGAAGGGCAGCACAAAAGTAAGACAGCACAGAATGGTTTGTTTGGTACTTTTCCCAACTCTTAACAGTGTTGACCAAGTTACAGGAATTTTCACCCTTCCAAACTGATCCAGACTGCAGGGTGAAAATGCATCTTAAGATGTTATTTTGCATGCATTGATAGTTAAAGCCTTTACATAATAGTTTTGGACCAAGCAAGAGCAGTCTTTGTCTTAAAAAAAAGTACTCAAGTTTCAGTTTGTTGTGTGCTTATTGTCTGAGTATCTTTGACCAATCAGGTACCAGCAAACTTTGGTTGATGCAGGAAAAAAAACAGACCATATCAGGAGCTCAATCCAGTCTATACAGGATCTGGTGAAACCGTGTAACGTCTGTGTAGCTTACTCATAGTGAAACTGATCCTACCAAGACCACATGGAAGGTGAGCCACAGTGACGTCCTTATGCAGCTCAGACTTTACATTGAAACTGAGACTTATCACAAACACACAAAGGGTGAGCTAGAGCTATGCATCCATATTGCTTATCATAACTGAGATTTAGAAAGATCATTTGGGGCCCCTCTTGGAATTGATAAACTAGCAACACCCTCATGAAATCATCCAGACTTCTTTTTGTGGATTGATTGGGGTGATTGCTATTAGTCCATACCAACAATGAAGAAATGATGGCCATCCCTATGGAATACTGATCGGTCAGAATCAAACACAGTAATATCAGAAAGCTCAGATTAAATGTTGATGTTCAACTACTCTCAAAGCAGTACGCAGAGGGTTAATAAGAGGTGTGAAAAACTCTCCCTTTGATATCGATGAGGATCTTCCTGCAGGTTATTTTCTTGTTTACTAGCGTGCATGTGTAGACATCGACATCCCCTCCAGGCTAGTCAACTCACCGAGAAAACCGGTCCTACTGGAATCAATCTCAAATCTTTATTACCGTGTTTATCAAAAGCTTATGTGTGTGAGCTGTGCTGTTATTATGTAGGCTGCATATTTTATGTGTAGAAGTTATATGAGGATAAAGGTTTGTTCAGGCGGAATCGGAAGCATGTGGAGTTTTACCATGAACCGCTGTCGTACACAAACGCAACGATTTCGCTACGATAATCAACATGTTGCTGTAAAAGCTGCACATTAGATCCAAGTACACTACTTCAGCGGTGTACACACCACAAGGAGAGTCGATAAACCAGATTATGCACATTTTACTCTGAGGATTTGGAAAAGGAGGAGCTCTACATGTTTCTGCATTTCTGTTCATGTGGAATATCCCACTGAACCTTCATGTTAACGCTGTGCCAGTGAAGTGCCATTTTTATATCGTTTGATTAAAAACATAAACATATTGAGATTACATCTTGCCAGGGAGGGATTTCAGCAGTCATTGTCACTGTCCTTTTTTGACCCTTTAAGTAAATAAATGACCAAAGTCATGAAACATATTGGTGCAGCGATCCGTTTGTAGCCAGTTAAAGTAAGTGAATTGAATGGGCCATCTAAATGCAAAGTGGCGCCAAAACTTCTAAATTAGGTGTTCATTCATTGCATTTAATCATTAGTGTTGAGATGAGACTTTCTTATAATGATCGACATGACATAGTAGAGCTGAATGTGCCTGCAGAGATGCCTGGCTTCTGTTCTGGTCCTCTGGCTGTTTTTTCAACAAAGGGGTCAAGCCAACTGGGCTCTCTTGTGAATGATACACTTACTGCTTCTTGTTTATGGTTGCACAATGGTAAGTATTGTTGCCTCAGAGCAAGAGGGTTCCTGGTGTGAATCCCAGGCTGGGCAGGGTTCTGTCAGTGGAGTTTTTCCAGTTTTAGTCAGACTTCTTCCGTCAACCAAATTGTGTGATAATGTGAGAGGTTGAGGGGGATGGGATGCTAACCCACCAGCTTGTTCTTAGATCCTTCTCACTCAGTCATTGACATTTTATACTGACCAGGAAATTATTCACCAACTGAAAACAAGAAATTCAATCGACAACTAATCCACATTCTGTAAACCCCTTGGCTAATGTCGGCTAAGGTTTGGCTTTGGGGTGTCTGATCCATTTAAGACTTCTAGAAAATAAACTCAGCATATTCAGAAAAGAGAAAGGTTGGAGTTTTGATAAACGCAAAGTCAGTCAGGACCAATGTACTAAAATACTTGTGGTAATCTGGCTTTATTCTGAGAGCACAATGCCTCCGTTTTTTGTGTATACATAAAAAGCAAAGGCAGGAAGAGCAGCAGCAAAGATCTCCAGGGGCCTGGATTGTATGTATGGAACAAGCCAAATACTTTGCTAGAAGGCCAGCGCTATGTCTTTGGTGGAGAGGTGGATGAACTGATTGAGAAGGACCATGACCAAAGAAGGAATGCATGTCCTTCCAGGATAAAAAAAAACCCATCCGTGTTATTTCCAGCAACACTGTAATGCATAACATAAAAGTTAACCCATGCATCAAATGGTCTGAAATCAGTAGCATGATTGCAAAACAGTTTGCAGAGAAGGCAGGCTGAAACAGTCGGATAGTTGCCCATTGACTGTCTGTCAGAATATCAGCTGATGTGTCCTGAGCTTGACTTTTGTGGCCTTCATGAACTTAGCATTACTTATATGTAGTTGCATTTTAACAAAGGTTTATATGTGAGCTATAATCAACAACTAAAAAGGAAAGTCTGTGATGATCTGCAGTAATTTGGAATATATGACACGTTTGAGTTGAAGTGTCTCTTCTTAAGGCCCAGAGTGTCTGAACAGGAAAGCTGAGGGAAAACACAGACTGGAGGCTTGAATCAGGCTCTGTGTTCATACATGCATTCATGTCAGCCTGTGTTCTTCTCACACAGCTGTTGACGCTGTGTGAAAGAGTGTGTGTTCAGGGTAGGGTGCGTGCATGTGTGTGTGGACCTCTTGTTTGACCCTCAAAGCACCCAGCTCTGCCCCGCAGCAACTCAAACCAGCGGATCAGTTGTTTACTCAGTTTACAGCCTCCTGTTACTGACAGCGGTCGGTTGGTTTTACCCTCTACTTTGCAGTGATGGATGCACAGTTAGTGTGTTTGTGTGGGGGAGGAGAAGTGGTCAAGCCTGTTAAACTTTGACAGTTGTAGTCAGCCTATCTAGAGGTGCTCTAAACCTTCAAGTCAAGAACCCATGACTCTGAAACTCCAAGTTATTGAAGCGTCCTTTAAAAGATTCATTTTAATTATCACCAAACATTTCAATATAGTGAGATAATTTATGTGTTCATGGGAGGTCAAAAATAACAGGTGACCATGGAATGAACATACCACAGAGTGTCCTCCAAAAACGTTTGGATTGAGTTGATTTTGATTCCTAAAAAAATCTCCTTTTGTTTTTAACTTTTCAAGTATGTCAGTAACTGTGAGCGTTGTGAAAAATAGGACCAGAGTTTGTTCCTGCAGCTACTGAGAATCTCCCCGTCTGTCACCAACCAGCTGTGATAACAGACACTCAACAACATTTAGAGAAACAGTTGTCTTTGTTTGCACAGTGGCAGTTTCAATTAATTTCATGTCAAATTGGACAATTGATTAATGAGGGATGTCATTTCTCTAGATCGAACCATGTGAATCTCAAGCCTCCGCACACTTCCTCTCTGCAGCAGTGCCAGGATTGAGTTCTGCTAACTTCACTGTCTAATTTACACATTGCACTCTGAAATGGTATAATATTGTTGTTCCAGTGTGCGGGGCAGAGAGGGATTAATTATTGAAAATGGATTACAAAAATAGAAGAGAGAGAAAAATATGAAACTGGCTGGCTTATGCAGTCAAAATTATACTTGAGTGGATTGCCCAGATATACAGTATGTGTGCATGTTTGTGTGTGTGTGTGTGTAGGAGAAACACTGGTCTCTCAAAATGTGCCTTGATTGTTTTTTGCAAAATGAATGAGATATATGATGATGGCATTATTTTAATGTCATTACAACAACAGTATATCACACCCCGTAGTGAGCATTTAATGTCCCACTAAAACTCTCTTTTGACCTCTTGATCAATCAAAATCAAGATCGTGTTCACAATTCAGGCAAGACATTGTGAATATCGAGGTAAAAGAAAGTGACAACTACACAAAATAAAACCAGTATCAACAGTTGTTTGAAAACAATCCTTGACATTTTTGACAATTGTAAAATAAACTGGTGCTTTCAAGGATTCCCCTATTCAAGGACAGTGGTAGCCTTGTATTCAAAATATCTGCCTAATTGACCATCAAAAATTAGCATTGCCAGATTTGTTTGTCAAAAGACATACTTAAGCTTAATACTTAAGCATGACTTCAGGGGGCACCAAAACTGACACAGACTGAAAGTTCTTCATAGGAGTTAATGTAGTACACCTGTTTGTAGCCTACAGTTGAAACAAAAACACAGGTTTGCAGATTAATTGCTTATTTATTGCTTTATCATCGACAAAGACCCAACATTGATACACCCTAAGTAAGAAAATGATCAGAAACCTTGAATAGAACCAAACTCAGTGGAGAACCTATATCTGCTGAGACGAGTTGGAGCAAGAAAACAGTTGAATACTGCAGCAGAAAAGATTAAAACACACAGGGTACAACATGACAACAGTGGAGGCAAAACACTGCAAGTACCAGAGAAATAACATTTTAATCCTCATGTTAATCCTACACCAGAGTTTTTACCATTATCCAGCAGCATTAAGCCAGAAGACATTAGAAGAGTATTTCATCTGAATGGTTCTTAAATGAACTAGACACTGATAGTGCAGAACTTAATTTCAACCTTCTGTTTTTGACCTCAAATAGTTTGCTCTGGTCAGGGATACTTAGACAAAAAGCTGTTTCAATTTTCAGTGTGATAGATTATGTCAAAAGTATTTAATTTCATAAACACTTGGTAGGACTGTGATTTGCAGATGACATCTCATGCAGATGTTGTTTTAAGCTGAGGTTCGAACACAGCAGACAAAGATCCATTAGATCCATTAAAAGCAGAAACACTCATATTAAGCTCATGGTCTTCATCATTATTTTAGGTGTCCAAACAGGCTTCACTATTCATGTCAAACACTGCAGTGTTGTACCTCAACTATTATCTGCCTGCTGTGTGCCTTTCAGTGGGTCCAGCGGTTTAATTATGAAGGTCAAAGTTCAAAAAAGATGAGAGTGGTTGTTCGACACGTTCGCCGAGAAAGCTGCAAGTGCTTTTTCACGGTCACTGCTAACCAAGCTCATTTGTCCAGCTCCTGTCTTTGTCAAAGTAAGCGCAGGTAATCAGACAGTTAATTGGTCTTGGCAGGGGATCAGCTGGGATTGGCTGTGACAGGTGGATTGGCTCAGGTAACCACGTTCAGGCGAGAGGGTCAAGTTTATCCCACGTTGAATTTGAACCTTTTGAACTGTTTGTTCTGGGACACGTAGTTTATGACTTGTCATGGAATTGGAAAATGGATATGATGGTTGATCAAGAGAGGATCTATGGAAAAACTACAATTATTTATCTAGCGCTTCATTGGTACAGTTGTTGAAATAAAAACAGTGATTGAGTCATGGCTTTCCTTGTCATCCCAGGTTCTACTTTGTTCAGATTTACTCTTGATCTCTTGGATCAAATAAGTTTATCGATGAAATATAGTGACGTTCTTTTCAGGGTTCTGTCCTTTGGTTGAATAAATGCATAGGAAATAATAGTTCCCAATTGAATCTCACATACAAATACAACCACTGATTTCTGACCATGAGTTTGTGTTTACAGGGATGAAGTTCCCTGTGGATCTGCTGGCTGATGTCAGCCATGCAGAGCTGGAACGGTCGGCCCAGAACTATATGAACAACCTCCTCTACAGCAATCCCGAGTCACCTGAACACCTCACCTTGTCTGACTGCTCAAAGGTAACACTTAACTCAAACTGTCTGACTGCATTCATGTAACACACATCATAGTTCAGCTCCTCACTGTAACACAAACATCACTGTACATCTCCAAGTAACGCACACCCCACTGTTTGACCCCTCATGGGTTACACACTCTTCAACTTCAGGTAACCATAGGCATTTGTTCAGAGAATATACAATTTAATCTAATTTAATCCCAGAATTAGAGCCATTTGATATTAAAAATCTCAGAGAAACTGCAAGAGTTACATTTAAGAGTCACCTTAGATTGAAATAATAGAATAATCACACCCTATTTGTATGTCAGTTTTTTTTACTGCTCTGTCTTTCTGTCCTCAGGTCCCCATAAGCATTTCCACTGTGGGTTTTGTTCCTCTGTATGGATCCAGTGACAGACAGAAGGTCTTGGCCCTCTTTCCCCCATCGGACACAATGGTGGCAGTGGCACTGTTCCTGCTGGACCGATGGTGGACGGTGGATGACCTTCTGAAAACAGCAGACACCGCTCGAGAAGGAGTTGTGGAGGTAAGACTGAATATTTCAACAGCTTTATCCATTTTGAAAGAAAATTCAGTGGGAGCTGCACCTGGACCTGGTTTCTCACAGTGATTGTTAAAGGTGCAGAGTATGTATTAAGAGAAAAACTGGCAAGACTAAACGTCAGCTTGGAAAGGTATCCCCAAATAATTCTCTGACAGAAGAATCCAGAGCTGTTACAGGCCAGTAACCCGTCTGCCTACATATGAGCAGTTTACTTGTGCACCTGCTGCACATTACCCACTGAGCAATAGACAGCTATTAGACATCTAGTTTTTTTTTAGACCTAATTTCAACCGTCTAGATTCTGTATAATTTTAGACTGAATTTAGACGTTGCACTTTAACCCATTAGTCGATAACTATTAACTTAAAAAAGCAACTGTGAGTTGCATATGAGAGCTGATCTTCAAGTACTTTAATTATGATAGCCATTGAGCAATTTACAGTGTAGTATAGATAGAGCCCAGATTTAGACTTGGTCTAAATTTAGACGTCTAAAAAACTTTCATTTTTAGACCTGTGGTAGCCTGATTTTAGACCTGTCGACTAGGCTACATTTAGACGTCTTTTAGACCTCTTTTAGACCAAAAAATGCTCATTGGGTAGTAAAGTCCTCAACAAAATCCAGTTGGTAACTTGGTGGCACAAAACAATATTATTTCTGCCTGCGCCATGACTGAGCTACAAGCATTTTCATATTTAATTCAGGAACAGCACTGATAAATTTCCTGGTTACTTACTTTAAAAAAATCTGTCATATTATTTCTTAAACAAAATTCCTAAAATCTTTCTGGAAATTGTATGATGAGCTAAAGTTTTTTGTAACAGCCAGAATTGTGAGGATTTTAAGAAACATGTCCTTCTCAAAAATATTTAATCTCTGTAGGGATCCTTTCTGTGATGTTGTCAAAAACTTTGACCAACAATCTAAGCTTGTGGTGAAAATGAAGCAACAGGCTCATGGTTTCAAAAAAAAAAAAAAACTTTTCTTCATAGTAAGAGAAATGTCTGAACTAGTCTTCTAAAACTCAGTGAGAAATGTGGAAATCAGTGGGGTCTGTTGTTGATTACAGGGCATTATACAGGGAAAGTGTGTTAGTCATTACTCTTGGCATCTTGTTTCCATCAAGCAGTAACTTTATTAGGTCAAACCTCGAAAGAAAATGTTGTGCAACAGTGTATGCTTTGTTTCTACTGCAGCCAGTTCAAACATGATTGTTTAAGGATGCTGCTGCATGAAAACTTTTTTGTGTGCCCCCCTCAGGTGGAGTCAGTAGGAGAGAGGATAGTTTTATACATCCTGAATCGTGTCGTCTATAGAGCCAAAGAGATGAGCTTAGATGAGCTCCCTTTCCTTTGCCACGGGGAGCGAGATCACGCTAAGATCTTTTGGAGCAACGGAGAGGCTGTGGGCTTCTACTCAGTCAAACCCACTGGTAACTATAAAGCAGTATTGACCCTAACACAGGATCATTTTAATCCTCATTTCAAACAATTAAACTCACAATTCATCACCAAAAATCAGCTCCAGACCTGTTGGAGTTCCTCCCTCTCTGACACTCATGAATATACTCTTCTTTGTGTTTGCCTGCAGGCAGCTTGTGTAGTTCTTTCTCCACCAGAAGCTATCTGCTCCCTGTGATGGACTCCATATTTGTTAGGAAGTGTCAGCGTGGAAAAGGCTTTGGTGTGCAGATGCTAGAGGACTTTGTACTCAGTTTTCAAGAGGAGTGTCTTGGGTTGAGATACCCCCTCACCAAATCCATGTACAAAGGTAAAGCAGACCACCCCGAAGCATGTACATCTTTACTGATTTAGGTGAATCAGCTTTCTAACAGTCAACACTGATTTTATATCTTTGTCCTCAGTGTGTAAAAACTACCTGCATCAGTACCCAAAGCATGCAGACCTGCTGTGGGAGGTGGAGAGCATCGGAGGCCCCACACAAAGGACCAAAATCGCCAGCAAGATTCAGACCATGGATCTGAGTGGTAAGAAAAAACAGCAGAGCTGATAAAACACCCAGGTTGTTTTTAAAGACTGTGCAATTTGAAAATAAAAATTCAGCAATAATCAATTATTAAGTAATTTTAAATAATAAAGAGAAGTCTCAGATTCTTCAGGTTTTCTTTCCTCTGCTCCTCAGCTGTATCTAAGAGTCTGGTGTTCACCGAAGAGTCGATCGTGATCACAGAAGTGATTGAGAAGGAGGCGATCACTACACAGATAAAAGAAACAGAATCCATGGAGTGTACGGTTGAAATTGTGGTGAGTTAAAATTTAAATATATATAAACATTTATATTTTCATTTCCATTTCATCTGATCTTTCTGTCCACATATGGAGGTGGTCTGGGGGGGCATTTGTCCACAGTAGTGGTGTGTATATTCATGTGTGCTGGGCAACATTGAGGACTGCTCGACCCCTGCACCCACAGCAACTATTATGAAGAGCAACAAATCAGTCTCTAAATGCATAAACATAGTGAACTGTCCTGTATCTCAGTGCACACCCTGATATGATAGATAACCAGTGCCTCCACATGCTGTGAATAACAGGAGAACTGAACAACAAGTATTTATTAGAGTCAGAGTAAGATTGATCTTTTCGTTGTTGTGTTTTTTTACTCCCATCAGAGTTTCTAGTCTGCTGTGCCGTCTTTCACATCAAAGATAACCTCAGATTTGTACAAAGTGTATTGAGGGTCCATGTATTTGCAGCTAAAACAGATCAAAGTTGTCACCAGGGAGTCAGGATTGATTCTAAAGCTGAAAACTCAAGTGTAAAGCCAGTCACTTACGGTCTAATTGTTATAACCACATTAAAAAGCATTTGTGCGAAGTGTTCACATGTGATGATGACCAGTGTAATTTGATTTGCAGGAAGAGGTGACTGTCCTGAAAGCAACCAAAGGTGAGTTTCATCTCTTTACACATAGGCTGTAATAAAAATTAATGTAATTATTAGTGTTGTGTTGTGCAGTTTGGTAATCAACATTGTAATTATGGTTGCAGTCTTAGATGATGAGATCCCTGTTGTGGTTCGAGGTCGGAGCAGTGGATCCAAACAAAGAAAGATGGCAGAACAGGTCACAGAGGAGAGGTCAGAGAGAGTAATCAGGTCAGTATCAAGTGATCAGGTTCACCCCTGTGAAGCATGATGATTGTTTTATTTTAACAGGAGATTCAGAAATTCCTTTTCAGATGCCTTAATATCAACTCTCAGTTCAAATATGTCCTCATGTTTCACATATCTTTGGGTACTGAGGGAGGATTTTTCATACAAATATGTCAGGAGGATTTGTTAGAAGATAAAAACAGAGAAAAAACACACAGTATCTGGTGTGTGCAAATCTTTGTATGTTTCAGCGCATTTTACAGTGTGCAAAAATGAGCATTTGACCTGCAACAACAATTTCTACCTGCAAATTTTGAAAAGATGCATATTCAAACATGGTGTCAAACTCAAAAACAAATGCAATAAAGAAAAGGCAATGTGCAGCAGAAAGTAAAAGTAACACACACTGTAAAAAACACCTAATCTGAACACAAGTACAAAAAGGAAAATCACAAATTTTAAGTTTGCAATGTTTCTGAATTTCCTGCTTCTATTGATAAAAATTGGACCATAGTAGGGATTGTCATCTTGACCTGTAGTTTATAAAAAAATGGAAAATCATTTCACCAAAGAAGAAAGTAAAAAAGCAGCAACTTCAATCAAATTCTCAAATGAGTCAATGGCTTGGTGCAATAGCTTAAGCAGAGGGCAGCTTCTTCGCTCCTAAAATTGAGACTTTTATCATCCCTGAAGGCATGAATTTGCTATCTTCTCTTTGTTATCTGACCTGTATCATGGCAACTTGTTGAAAAAAAATGTTTAAACTAAAGTCATTACTTGTATCTATTAGGATTGAAGATATTGAAGCAGAAACCCCCAGAGAGGAGCACAATTCTGTACAACAGGAGACCGAAGTGCAAAACATTTCTGACCTGGTGCAGACTGAGGCGTGTGTAAGTAAATTGTTCATTGGATAGATGTTTGTCCAAATTAGCAATATAGCAAATTGTTACATTTTCTTTGTTTCATTTTAGGATGAAGTCAGTTTGACTCCTGAAGAGACAGGAGAGGATGCAGCAGATACAACACCTCTAGAAGAAAGAGGAGAAGAGGAAGAGATATCTGTGATGTTAGAAAAAACGGACACAAAAGATCTAGATGATTTAACATCAGCACCTGAAACTGAGGAGCCTCAAGCCGAAGAGGATGACACAGAAGATGTGAACACCTCCCATGACTCACAGGTGATAGTTGAGAATGTGGCGTCAGAAATTGAGGAAGCAGAGAAAGAGTGTGAGGATACCGTGGAACCGATTGTGTCTGAAGCAGTTTCAGAGGAGCACAAAGAAGCAGAGACTCCAGTGGAGGAGGCCGATGAAAAGTCAGAGGAAACTGTTACACAACCTGTGCCACTTATAACAGAAAATGGTGAAACTCCGAAAACAGAGAGAGTAGTCGTAAAGGTGATAACAACAGTCAAGAGTGAAACCCCCAGACGGAGATCTCAGCGGCACAGAAAACCAGAGGAGCAGGACACCCCAGTCCTGGATGGAGCAAGAGTTCTGAGAGGAAGGACAGTTAAGAGCACTCCTACTCCCAAATCTACGCGCTCGAGTCAGAGGGTGCACAGAGAAGTGACGACAAGTGTGGAGGAGGTTTCTGCAACAGATGTAGCGGAGGAGCCAGCTGCACCTGAACAGGGAGAAGAGCCAGAAGAAATTACCTCCATGAAAGAGGATGGTCTGACAGAAGAGGAGACAGAGAAAGAGGAGGAGTCAGGGGCAAAACAAGATAATGCAGAAACAGTAACGAGACAGGAGGAACAAGAAGCCTCTGATGAAGAAGATGAGGAACCTCCTGTCGTGCAGAAAAGAGGTAAGAGAGGCAGACGTAAACTTACAGCTCAACCTACGCCCAAAAGACAAAGCAGAAGACTTCAGAAACAAGAAGAAGAGCAGACAGAGGAAGCAAAAGGTGTTGCTGTCGAAGAGGAAGCTGAGGCTCAGGTAGAGGTACAAGAGGATGCTGATGACAAAACAGAAGAAAAGACATCAACTGAGGAAGTAGGAGAGGATGTTGCACCCTCAACTGAGGTTAATAAAGCAGCAGAGGAAGAGACAGAAGCTCTCGATGAGGTCAGTGCACCTGCAGTCGAAGAGCCTCAGGAGAAAGACATAGACTCTGAAGCCACTGCTGATCTTGTGCACCAGGAAGCAACCCCTGACCAGCTTAGTGAAAAAGAGAGTGAAGAAACACCAGCTGATGGAGAACCTGCTGCTTCAGAAAAGGAAGAGGTGGAACCAAAAGCAGGAGAAGAAGAGACGTCTGTTGTTGATGCAGAGGCGGAAACACCAGCGCCACAAGAAGAGGAAGAGGGGGAAAAGGAAACGGTTACTGAACCTGCATCTGTAGAAACAGAGGCTGTCCAAGAGGACGAGCACCAGGCAGACAATTCCGAGAAAGAAAAGGAGGAATCTGCAAACCTGGAGGAGGACAAAAGTGAAGCAGAGGAAGCCCCTGTTGTTGTGACAAGAGTTTTGAGGAGTGGAAGAAAGACAATTGTGGCAAATCAAAGTGAAGGCACCCAACAGGAAGCTGAGGAGGACAAGACTGAGGTTGTGACTGAAGCAGAAACAGTTGACACTGAGATGGAAGCACCAGAAAAGGATGCTGAAGAAGAGGGGAAGGAACAAGAAGTAGAGGAGGTTGTTTCTTTAGAGACTAAAGAACAAACAGAATCACAAAAAGAGTTGGAGGAATCAAAACCTGCGGCAGAAGATGAAGAGCTAGTTGAAGAGAAGACTGAAGCAACACCTGATGTATCTGAAGATGCTGAGGAAGAGTCCAAAGTACAAGAGGAAACAACAGCTGCAGAAGAAGCCGCTGTTCCTGTGGAGGAAATTGCTGAAGATGGAGAGGAAGAGCAGAAGGAAGAAACAACGGCGGAGGAGAGTATTTCTGGTTCCACTGCTGAAACCGAACAAGCTGAACAGGAGGAGGTGGTGATAAGAGGAGAAATGGTTGAGCAGGAGGAAAAAGAAGCAGACACCACTCATGAAACGGTTCAGGAAGATGAGGCAGCAATAGAGGAAGAGGCCCAAGTTGCTGATAAAGAGGAGGAGGAAGAAGTTACAGTCACTGAAATCACAACACGAAGAGGTAAAAAGACAGTAGTCACAGTCACACCGAGACGCAAATCAGCCAGAAGACAGAAAAAGGGCGAAGAGGAAAAGGAGGAAGCTCCAGACATTGACGAGGAAGAACCAGAAGTTCAAGTTAGAGTTCTCAGGAGAGGGAGAAAGTCCTACCAGGTACAAAAAAGTCCACAGAGAAAAACACGCAAGCAACCCCAGGAGAAGGTGGACCAAGGGGAGAAAGGAGAAGAAGAAGCTCCAGCAGATAAAGATGGAGAGGCTGAGGAAAAAGTGGAACAAGCTGAAGAGGAGGAACTTAATGAGAGGGATGAAACCCAACAAGTAGAGGCAGATGCAGAGAAAGAGGTTCCAGCTGCTGAGGAACCAGACAGACAAGAAGATGCACCAGAAAGCACTGAGACAGGTGAACAAGGTGCTGAAGAAGAAAAGACCTTAGATGAGGCTGCCCAGGAAGCAGCAGCCACAACTCAGGATTCAGTGGAAGAGGGAGAGACCATCGACAAAGACACAGCAGCAGAGGAAGAAACCGTGGCAGTGCCAGAAGAGACCGAGACCACAGAGGATGGTGAAGCTACTCCTGAGGATTCAGTCCAGGAAAAAGAAATCGACACTTCCTTACCTGAACCCACCCCTGATGAAGATTTACCTCCCTCTACAGCCGAGGAGGCAACACCTATAGAAGAAAAGCAGCAGAGTGACGTTGTGGTACCCAAGCTTCTCCATCTCCAAAAAGTGAGTGTGGTTCTAGTGGACCTGAAGAAAACCCATCAAGAGGTTCATGAGGAAGAAGCAGCAGCTGTCGTGGAAGAGGATGAAACTCCTGCTGAAGTAGAGGAAACCAAAGAGGAAGAATCAGTGCAAGAGGAGTCAATAGTGGAAGAGGAGAAGGTGGAGGAGAAAGCAGAAGAAGCAGTTGCAACACAAGAAATGGGGGAGGAGGAAGCTAAGGCGACAGCAAAAGAGGATGAGGCCCAAGTTGCTGATGAAGAGGAGGAGGAGGAGGAGGTGGTGGCAGTCAGAACACGAAGAGGAAAAAAGACAACAGTGAAAGCCACACCAAGACGCAAATCAACAAGAAGACAACAGAAAAGGGATGATGCAGAAGACAAGGACAAAGCTTCGGATGATGAGGAAGAGGAACCTGAAGTTCAAGTCAGAGTTCTTAGAGGAGGAAGGAAGTCCATCTCCGTCACACAACAGAAGACACCGAAAAAATCACACAAACAAACCCAGGAGGAAGAGGCAGAAGAAGAAGGAGAGGAAGCTACAACAGCAGAAGAGAAAGAAGCAAAGGAAGACAAAGACGAGGCTGAAGGAGAGAGACTTGAAGATGAGGACGCAACTCAAGATGCAGAACCAGAAACAGACGAAGACACGTCAGAGGAGGCTGCCCCAGAACAAGATGCTGCAGAGGAGGGACAAGCTGGTGGCGCTGAAGCTGTTGAAGAAGGTGCAGATGAGGGTGAGGCCTCAAGCGAAGTTGCTGATGTAGCTCCAACAGAAGGGGATAAAGTTGAGGAGGAAGAGATCGTCTCCTCTGGAGAGGCTGAAGCGCCTCAGGCTGCTGAAGAGGCACAGCCAACTGAAAGAGATGAAGAGGCAAATGAAGAGGTAGAAGTTCCCGAAGAAAAGGCTGTGAGAGTGTCACCAAGAAAAACAAAAAGACAAGACATTGAGCAGGATGATGCAGAAAAAAGTGCAGAGGAAGACAAGCCAGTGATAGAAACAAGAGCTAAAAGGAAGGGAAGAAGGTCTGCCCCTGCCTCACCTAAACGCAAATCCAGAAGAACAAGAAAACAGCAAGAAGCTGAGGAAGAGGATGATGACCAAACCTCTGCAGCGGAAGCAGAAGAAGCAAAGGCAGAACAAGAAGAAGCAGCAGAAGAAAGTAAAGATGAACAGAACACAGAAAAACCCGAAGAAGAATCAGCAACCCAGGACACTGAGAATGCAGAACCAGAAGTTGAGAAGGAAAATGTAGAAGCTCCAGAAGCTGAGGCAATAACAGAACAAAAGGCCGAGGCAGAAAAACCCGAAGAAGAATCAGCAACCCAGGACACCGTAAATGCAGAACCAGAAGTTGAGAAGGAAAATGTAGAAGCTCCAGAAGCTGAGGCAACAACAGAACAAAAGGCCGAGGCAGAAGGGCCCCCTGCGACTTCAGAGGAGGAACAGACCCCTGCTGAGGAGGGTATTACAGAAACACCTCTTACAGATGAACAGATTCCTGAGGAGGAACCACCAACTGTTTCATCAAGAGCCCTAAGAGGTGGAGAAAAGACAGTGAGAGTCTCACCAAGAAAAACTAAAAGACAACATGATGAGCAGGAAGCTGCTGGGGACAAAAGTGCAGAGGAAGATGAACCAGCTGTGGAAACAAGAGCTAAAAGGAAGGGAAGAAGGTCTGCTCCTGCCTCACCTAGACGCAAATCCAGAAGAACAAGAAAACAGCAAGAAGCTGAGGAAGAGGATGATGACCAAACTTCTGCAGCAGAAGCAGAGGGTGCGAAAGCAGAGCAAGAAGAAGCTGCAGAAGAGAGTAAAGATGAACAGAACACAGAAAAATCTGAAGAAGAATCAGCAACCCAGGACATTGAAAATGCAGAACCAGAAGTTGAGAAGGAAAATGTAGAAGCTTCAGAAGCTGAGGCTATAACAGAACAAAAGGCCGAGGCAGAAGGGCCGTCTGCCACTTCGGAGGAGGAACAGACCCCTGCTGAGGAGGGTATTACAGAAACACCTCTTACTGATGACGGGCCGATTCCTGAGGAGGAACCACCAACTGTTGCAACAAGAGCCCTGAGAGGTGGAGAAAAGACAGTGAGAGTCTCACCAAGAAAAACTAAAAGACAACATGATGAGCAGGAAGCTGCTGGAGACAAAAGTGCAGAGGAAGATGAACCAGCAGTGGAAACAAGAGCTAAAAGGAAAGGAAGAAGGTCTGCTCCTGCCTCACCTAGACGCAAATCCAAAAGAACAAGAAAACAGCAAGAAGCAGAGGAAGAGGAAGAGGAAGAAGACCAATCTGCTCCAGCTGAAGAGTTGCAAGTGGAAGAAACTACAGCAGATGTGAATGAAAATGTAACTGATGAGAAAACAGAGGATATGGTTGGTGACCAAGTTGCAGCTGGAGAAGAAGAAACAACAGAGCCAGAGGTTGAGATGGAAAAAGTAGAAGCTGCAGAAGAGGACTCACAAAAGGAGCAGGAGACCCTGGAAGAGCAACCTTCACCTGTCTCAGGTGACCAGGAAGAGACTCCAGCCGAGGAAGGAGCTCAAGACACACAGGGTGCTGATGATGCCAACAAGGAAGACTTACCAGTTGTTGAAACAAGAGCCCTAAGAAGTGGTAAGAAGGAAGCAAGGGTCTCACCACAAGGCAAAACCTTGACGAACCAACAGACTGAAGATAATGAAGAGGACGGGGCAGGAATGGAAGGGACTGTTGAGACTGAGGAACCTGTGGTTGAAACAAGGACCCTTAGGAAGGGAAGAAGGTCTGCTCCTGTTAGTCCAAGGCGCAAATCCAAAAGAACAAGAAAACAGCAAGAAGCAGAAGATGAGGATGATGACCAAACTTCTGCAGCAGAAGCAGAGGATGCAAAAGCAGAGCAAGAAGAAGCTGCAGAAGAAAGTAAAGGTGAACAGAATACAGAAAAACCTGAAGAAGAATCAGCAACCCAGGACACCCGCGCCGAGGAACAGGCAATGGAGGAGGATGTGGCTGTTTCTGTTGAGGAGACTGAAGAAAAGGAAGAAGAGGCCTTACCCCAGGAAAAAGAGGGGGCAAGTATTGAAGTTGAGGAAACAACAGAAGCCAAGGAGGAAACAGTTGATGATACGGCAGGAGAATCTGCTGCAGGAGGTGAAGAAGAAGCACTGCCTGAGGAGGAAGACACCTCAAAGAAGACATCAGTGACTGAAGCGGAAGAAACAAACTTAACAGAAGAAGAAAGCACAGCCACAGAAAACTCTACTGCTGACAGCGAGGCAGCCGTTGAAGATGAGTCTGTGGAGGCAGTTGAAGAAGCTCCAGCTCCTTCAACAAGAGAAACAAGAAGTTCCAGAAGACATAAAATTCAAGAGGTGTCTGAGACCAATCAGCAGGAAGAAGAAAACCCTGAGGATGACCAAGAGATGAATGCTCAGGAACAAGAAGAGGAAACACCTCCTCCTGAACAAGCTGTAGAGCCTCCAACTGACGGTCCCACGGATGATTCAACAGACAAGAAAGAGGAGGAAGAACCAGTAGGAATGGAATCACCAGAGGAACAGCCATCAGAGGGTGAAGAAGAAGATGAAACTGGGGACTCTTCAGTCGTGGAAGGTGTCAGAGTTACAAGGAGGACAACAAATTCTCTGAAAGAAAAAGAAAAGAAAGAAGTGGTAAGATCAGCAAAACGAAGATCCAGCCGAAGAAAACCAAAAGTGGATTACAGGGAAGAAAATGATGTGGAGGAGGAGACCTTGTCATCTGACTCTGATACAGAGGAACAAGAGAAAGTGGACTCAGAGGTGGACAAAGACATCACGACTGAGTTGCCTGAGGATGAATCGTCTGAGAAACCAGATGTCAATGACCACAGTGTCCCCAGTTTGAAATTAGACACAGATGAAGAGGCCGACGAGGTTATGTCAGAGGAAGAGGAGGAGCCTGTTGTGATTGGAAAAAGGAGTTTGAGAGGGAGGGTAGTTCCTTCAATAACAATCACACCAGGGCGCCGTAGCGCTAAAGTTAAAAAAGCGGAAGAGTCTGATGAAGAAGAGAGCCCTCAGCCAGCTCAGACGAGAAGTCTCCGCAAGAGGAAGAGCAATGAGGCAACACCGACCCGCAAATCGAAGCGTCACAGCAGAATTTAGGATCTGATATTGCCATCACAACCCAGTCTCATGGCGCTTGGTAAAAGAGACACAATAATATAATAGATTTGAGAATGGTGAACACGGACGGGATTTGCATACTTACTCTTCCTGTCAGTCAGCACAAACCGCAAAGAAGTGCAACAACCCTGCAACCCTGGAGGCTACAGAGTCAGGACTGTACTTTTCGGACCGCACTTATAAGACCCTTGTTGTTTTCGACTGCACCATCACATGTATTGGATCTCCAAAGACACAAACACACTTTTAATGTGTAGCGCAACAGTTTTCAGTGCCTAGCCATGACCCCAATCTTAACCATAACTGATTCAACAATACCAGCGTCCTAGAGATACAATACCAGAATCACGTTACTGAAACTGCAGTCTCTGCAGACATATAATATTGAGCGTATTTGGTGCTAACAACATGAAAATCTTTGTGTTCAGTCTGCTAAACCCCATTATGCAGTGGTGACACGAGTCTTGCGCCACACTTTAGGGCTCTCTGTTGAAGGCCTTTATTTAAGGAGGGCTCATCCTCCATGTTTTAAAAAAGTGGTCACACTTTGTAGACGTAGAAATTGGCTGGGTTAAAGGAGAATAGTTGAAAATTTCATTAGTTAGTCCCAATATTCCAAGAATGAAATGGTGAACTCAAGTCGAACATAAAACAAGAATAGAGTCTTAAATTAGGAAAATAAAGTCATGATAATGGAGAAAAGTCATAGTTGTATACAGCTGCCTACTAGACTGCCCCAGTTTGAAATAAACCCAGTTCACTGCACAGTCTATTCAGAGTTTGCTCAAGTGTAACTGAACAGGACAGTTCATGTTCCTTATTTTGGTGCTGAGGGTGAGCTGCTCTTAGAAAACTTTGACTTTCCTCTTAAATTTACAACCTTAAGAGCAATATTATTATTGATGCCCCTTATAACCCATAAAAAAAACTAATTAGATCATGGGGGGCAAGGCTGATCATTTTTAGTTTTCTTTTTCAAGCCCCAGTCAGGAACTTTCTGTATGTGTTGATTTTGGCGCCCCCTTCAGCCAGTTTGAACCTTCTTCAGTTTGAAGTGTACATATACAAGAAAAAATTCAGCAATATCCAGGTATATATCGTGTTTACATGTATTCTAAAAGTCCTGTTTTAGTCAGTCTAATGCAATAAGTCCAGTTTACATCATGTCAATTTACTGTGGGACCACTTTGACCTTAGAGGACACCAAAACTGAGATATGCTGAAAGTTCCTCACAGTTCTTGTAATGTGAAATCTTCACTGTAAAGTATTACAGCTATATTCTTATATTTCAACTTCACCCTCTAAATGTAACCACTTCCCATTTAATCACTTAATTTTTTCTCATTTTTCTGGTGCATGCTTGGGCCAAAAAAGTAATTGGTTCTCTGAAAAAAACCAAAAAGTGAAGTTGATTAAATTATGGGACATTTAGAAAATTGAAAAAGGGAAGTCTAATTTTTTTTGTCAGTGAATAAATTTCCTGACTTAAGTTTTTGGAAATATTTCAAATACACACCGTAAGGCCCTGTTGATGATTGATTAATAGTTACATAATGTACTGTTAAAATATAAACACAGGTTAAAAAAAGAAAAAAAAACACAAAAGTCTATCAACTGCCTACATGTAGTAAAGTCTGCACTTAAATTCAGACAAACAACTCAAATTAGACTGTTTCTGATTGTTTCTTAAGCCATATTTTGCATAGTAATGATATGTAGAAGTGGTGAATATTTTTATATTGTAAATATTTTCCTACTCGTGAATGTCTGCTTTGCAATTTGCAGGAGCTGTATGTAATGATTCAGCCTCTGACATTTGACTTTGATTTGTTTCTGTTTTTGACTCAGAAATATGCAAAATGATCTAATTAGATGTATCATGAAATCCAATCCATTGATCCATTTTTAATTTGCAAGATGTTCAAACAGATCCTGAATTACTTCAAACAGGCGTTACATTTTTTCAAATGTCTGTGTTTTTTTTAGAGTAGTGTACTTCAATTGATTTTTACCTAATCATGTCAAACTGAACTCAGGTCTTTACATAAAAATGTTTTTATTTTGACTTAAGTTTGATGTGTAGAGATTCTGACACGCAGACCTGTGGGTGTTACTGCACATTTAATTCATAACTCATCACATTTGATTCTTTAACTTAATGTTAAGATCTTTCAGCGAGTGAATTTCTGAAGCCATCGTGTTGTTCATCCTCAATATTGTTTTAAATGTGATAATATTTAGTCACCAGCGTTAGTCTAATCTCATTAGTATTGTTTGATGTTTTAAGCTGTCTGATAGTAGATCGATGTTTCACAAATATATGAGTTTAATAATAGATCACATTTAAGTCCCAAGGCAGCAGGAGTCTCTTCAGGTCTCAAAACCTCAACGAGTTTCCTCCAGTGATGTTTTATATAGACTTATCTTTTCAGTAAAGTTATTTTTCCATGAACTGCATTCACTATTTTTCTGTGGTAAATAAAGATTTCCAAAAATAGACACTTCTCCTGTCTGTTTTTTATTACATCCCTCACTGAAGGCACATTCATTGTAAAGGTATCTTCAAACACTTAGACTCTTGATACAAATGTAGAGCTGAGGATAAAGTCAATGTGATCCTAGTTTTCTGATGTAAAATAGTAAGTAATGGACATAATGTAAGTTCCACATCAAGAAATTTGAAAAGATTTGTTATGGGTGGAATACATGCATAGTCTGGTGTATCATTACCACAGTCAATCCATTTTATGTCACAATGGAATATAAGCTTGGCTGAGTTATAGAAAAGTGTTGGGACACCAATGTCTACTATTAAGAAACAGACTACGAATAGTAGAAAAGGGTCAATTTTTTAACAATTCCTTATAAACTTTAAATACGAACATGATAATAAACAATTAAAAAGACGGATCACATAATTTTAAATATGAAAAACCATATAGCTGTAGTTCCTGCATTATCATCATATGAGGACAGTTCTTTTTAGTCTACAATCATTATTGGATAGGGATATTTGTCAAACGAAAATAAATGTCTGTATTTAAGCCACTTTAATACAGACAGACCTCATTCAAAAAGAAAAAAAAAAAACTTGTAAAAGAGAAGACATATCTGAGCAGATTATGGTGAAACAGCATTTTAAGTTTCAAGCAGTATGAAACATGAACAAAAAACTTTTCCACTGGTGGCACTCCCAATGGAACTAACGGGAAAATTTAATTTTGAAACATATTTGAAATATTTTTAAGTTTTGTGAACAATCTAGAGTTTTGATGCTCCAGTTAACTGCTCTTAAGAATGTGCTTTGAATTTAGTGTAATCGAGGGGAAAAAAAAAGGAATGATTAGGTTTCTGAAAATGTAAGTATTCACCCTGGCGAATCCAGACTGTTACCACATTAATCAATCTTATGAAATTCTTTTATACACATTTTTTTTAGATTACACAGCGTCCAAACTTTTCGGGATTAGGGTGGCATTTAAAGTGCCCAAAGATCCTTGTTGTGGTTTAGCAATGAACATTATAGTACGAGATTAAAAATAATCGATCTCTACAATCCATTTCTGCAATCTGTTACATCTACATGCTTATCAACTCATGCTTCCTCACCCTCAAATCCTTACCCAGCCTGAAACTTTATGTTCACACTACATACCAAGAGAGAAACTAGGTGGTTGAGTAAAATGAGACACAGGAGACACAATTCTGAAATCTGGAAATGTATTTATTCTGCTTCTACTGGAATATTTAAAGCAGAGTGCAGGGCACAGCAAGCATTCACAACAGGACCAACAATGAAAAGGCAACCACAGACAGGTGATAAATTAAAGGAGGAACCTGGATCCCTACATTCTTCAGGGGTCTTTTGGCTCTGATATACTAGTATGGTTTAGGTGGGTTTCTTTATTTTTTCTGCTTGCTGCATTTAATTTTAATGGATGTGGGCAGAATAACCAAGTCTTCAGAGATTACACTTTGTCATCAATTATTCACAAGTCCCACAGGGAAGTATGCACACAGGCAAACCCAGAAAAGTACAATATTTGCTGATAAATATTGGATCCAAAAACGAGTCTCAAAATTTGAGAGTCTGCCAGTGCTGTGGTTTGGATTTAGTCCATATTTTGAAAACGTGATATATCAAACACTTGTCTTTTCAGTCTTGGATCCCATCTGGTCAAAGAACTGTAAGGGACATCTTTGAGTGATATGATATTTGTTTTCACCATCATCAAAATCAAACATCATTTCTAAAATGTATTTACACTTCAAATAAATCTGTGACCTTATTGAGGAGATATTTGTTGGTTTTCCCTTTAAATGTTCCCTGTCTGTAGTTGACCGTCCCTCTGAATTCAAGTTATATTTCTCTTTTTTCCAGTATGAAACTTCATTTAGCACCTAACCGAGTTAACAGGCAAGCAGGCTGGTAAAGTTCCTTATTAACCAGAAGAGCCATGACGTTACATGGAGTAAACAGGGCAAACCAAAGCATCTTTCGCTATTTAAAGATTATACAAATACTTATATGAAAACAGAGAGACAAAACTACATTTAGAGCCAACAGCTTCACTACTGAACAAAAATCTATTTTTACAGTTAAAGTTCTTCTGAATGTTTGTGTGATGCCTCAGAGGTCTTTTTTTTTGTTTTTTGTTTTTGTCATCTTTAGTGTCGCCTAGCGTTGATACAGAACAAGACCACAGCGTCGCACATCACTTTGCGTTAAGCTTATTACTCATATTCGAAAGAAAAAAACACCTCTGGGTGCAGCTCTATGGATGAATGAAGGCATCGAAACTCATCTTTTCTGTTCCACAATGTACAGAAAACTGGCTCTGTTTTTGATCCTGTGAGGTCCATCTTCCTCTTAAAACAACTTAAAAACCAAACAGACGATTCGGAGAGGAGGAGCAGCAGCTGTGAGCAACACATCAGGTCAGATCTGACTCATCTAAAAGACAGAGCGGTGTGAAGCCCGGCTTTTTAAAAATCTAAAACTAAAACGGAACACGAGCTGGCATGTAGGTGGTTCGTCTGTAGCTTAAAAAGGAGAGAAAGAAAAAAACACTGGAGCTCGGCCAGCACACAGAGACAGTGTTTACAACATGTTAGTATTTTTAGACTCAAACTCGCTTAAATTAGTAAAGAGGAGCTTAGAAACTGTCGTAATCCTTCTTGTCTTTTTTGCCTTCGCCCTCGAAGCTGTCTGTCCCATCGCTGTTGTCGCGGCGGCGCTTGCGGCTGTTGCGGACATTGAAGCGAGGGTTGGTCTGGGGCAGAGGGTCCATACCCAAAACTTTGTGGATCTGCCGGAACGCCAGCAGCCTCAGAGCAAACTGTACAGGAACACAGAGGGGACATTCAGAGCCCCCAAAATTGGTTATCGGTCACTGTTGAGTTGAGTCAGTGCTCAGAAAGAGAGGCTAAACAGACTAAACACGTACAGCCCCACCGGTCCAGAAGGACAAGTTTATGAGGCTGGTTGTTACCTGTCTCCAAACCAACCGTCTTCTTCAGTCAGGCTGATAAAAGGAGCTGTAATAACTTGAAAACTCCCTCTGGGAAACGTTGAAAGAGCCACAGGGGCTACAGCTGGGGTGTGTACATTATGACTAGATTCTTCATGATGAGATTCTTCAGAGATGTCATGATAATTGATACTTGTAGCATAGTGATATTATATACAAGAAGCACACCTACAACAAACATTCCTTTGTTGTATTAATGTTTTTTTGTTCTTGACGGCCACTGTTGCTTTAGTGCCAGGAGTGTTGGTGGGGAAGCTTTCCCTTTTTAAATCTTAATGTGAGAAGTCGCTGAAAATCCTCATTCTGCACACAGTAACTTTAAATTTGTACTCGGGTTTAGCTTATCATTGGGAGCATATCAGTAAAGTGAGCGTTTGAAGAGTAGGCATGTAGGATTTCTCTCTTTTAAACATCAACTTTGACATTAAACATCACAGTCAAATGTTCGGGCCACATCCCACCGAGCAATAGACGGCTATTAGACATCTATTTTTTTTAGACCTAATTTTAACTGTTTATTTCTAAAAGCAACTGTGAGTTGCATAACTTAACCAAAGTAATTCTGATAGCTGTTGAGCAATATACAGCGTTGTATAGATATGGCCCAGATTTAGACTTGGTCTGTGGTAGTCTGATTTTAGACCAGTTGTCTAGGCTACATTTAGACGTCCATTAGACCTCTTTCAGACCAAAAATGCTCAGTGGGATTATATTTCCTCTCATATATATTTTTCAGTCCCTCACTTTAAAACAGTTTTTGTTTTTCTCTCTATTTCATCTTTTTTTACCTTCTCTCTTAACTGTACAGAAAGGAGAAAACTCTGACTATGTTATTCAGTAGCCACAATTGATGAATTATGACCATAACTGATGACAGTTGTTGGTTTTCGGACCTAACGGCTGTTATAGAAGAGAAAGTGTACCTGGGCACTTGAGGTAATATCCTCTCTTTGCTGCTCTCTCATGGGAATCAGAGTATCCACTGGCTTCTTCTCACAGGGATCCAACAATCCTGGTCCACCTGTTGGAATTGAATCATGAATCACATCATTGGTTTTTGTTTTTTTTTTTTGTTTTTTTTTTAATGAAAACCAAGGAGAGGTCGACACATCGGTCTTAGCGCAGAATTTATATTTCTGAGAAATACACCTAGACTGGTGAAAGATGAAAAAACACAGACAGGTTCTTACCAGGAAGTAAAATCCCAGATGAAATACATTCAAAGACCCGTCTCAGTGCGTCACCAGGGCTGAGGGGTGCAGAGGCACTACTGATGGCCTTCTCTACCAGCAGCTCCATTGCCTGAACACAGGGAACAGAGAAGATGGTTCGACAATGGGAGGGCTCAGTCGTTATTGTCAAATACTGAAACTGAGGCCAGTTACAGGCCTGTATCAGAACTGGTAACAAGCTTGTTGGCCCACCTACGTTTGAGGGGGGATGCCCAAATAGCCATAATTTCCAAAATGAAAGTCAAGTTTTGATTTATCAGACTGCGGGCGAGTTTTCCCAGCAATTTTAAGTTCATGTTTATGGTTTCCTCTTTGCATGGTACGCTTCTAACCCAGAAGAGAACAATCACCTTTATAGGAGAAGGTTCATCCTAACCCTAACACTAGAAGATGCGCGTCGATGTAGGAAGTTCCCGTAGGGGGTGCACACAACCCTACGGCCAGTCAACCAAAGACCTGGAGATAATTCTGGTTGAGCTAACGGTGCCACGAGTGAAAGGCTTGAAGTACCAGTCCATGTTCCAGGACTGTAGAGACAAGGGCTGGCAACCATGGCCATTCCCTGTGGAAATCAGCTGAAGGGACTTCCCAGTCAAGTCAGCTCTTGGCCTGGACACACAGAGCAAGAAACAAGCAGCTCGCAGAATGGGAGAGAAGGCAGAACAAGCCTCAAGTGGAATCGCTGGAGGAAAACTGAAGGCCAGAAGCAGATGGGCAGTGAGATGGCCACCACTGCTAGTCCACCAACTGGAGAACGGTGTAATAGAGGACCAAATGCTCTAAGAGGGTTGTGTACTACCTGATGATGTCTGCTCCTGGCCAACAGCTACAGTTACCTGTTAAGGTAACTAAATAACACCCACAAGTGTATGTCACTAGTAACCACTAAAGCAGCAATGATCTATGTGTACCATCAATGGTTTTTGGAACTGATTTGTATCCTATGCAGTGATTTCAACTTCAATGTCAATAATGCAGTGCCACCTGAAGATTATGGTCATCCAGTAATGCTATCAGGCCTTGTCCTATTTGTACAGAGATTTATCCAGATTCTCTAAATATTTTCATTATATATATATTTTTAAAAGTTGTAGCATTACACAACTTTTTAAGTGTTTTGTTTGAACATTTCATACACTGTCTCAGCTGTATTTTAACTGAATACAGATTTTAAACGACTTGCAATCTGTAAAATTCTGCTTTTAGAAACAAATTTCAAAAAAAAGTCTATTCTTTTTGAACTGAGGTCTTACAGTATTCATACTTGATATCTTCAACTATATATGTGACCTCTGGATGAAAGTAGTGAGGTTAAGAAACAACATGTTGCTAGATTCATGTGGTTTAATGTTGTACTATTTCTTGAAATCTGTTACATTGGTCCTAAATAGCTTACACTATCAGAGTGCTTTTGGTAAAGGATTGAGAAATACTATTCTGAATGACTTACATTTTGCCCACCAATTTGAAATTCTCATTTACGACACCTTCAAAACTCACAAACTGCTGAAATATCTTACCCATCCTGGGAAGGGCGACCATGTGGGGACTCTCTGACAGAGGTCTCTCAGGATCCGGATGATGATCACGCAGGACTGAAGTCCGTTGGCTCTAGCCTTTTGATGCAATAAAGTTAGGTTTACACAGTAACACACAGGTGACAGGAGATGGACCAAACAGGTGAATCAGTTCTGCCATAGAGGTCCAAACACTACTGTGCATAATGGAAGCTTGAGTATGCTTTGAGGTGCAAATGAGCTGTAAGAGTTAGCAATCAGCTGCCATTCCCAGTAGTCTTGTACCTCACAGTTAGTAAGGAAGTTCAAAGTTTGCAAGATGCACAAGAAATGAGCACGTTTCTTGCCATCTTCTAAACCCTGACCCCAGGTTTATCAGGTTTCTGACCAACAGGTACTTAAGAGTACAAGAGTCCACCTGAGAGGAGAGTATAGGGACTGACAGATCCAAAGAAATCTGCTTTACTTTACCTGTGCTTGTGCTCAGAGAGCAGAATCACAGGAAAATACTCAGATGTTCTTTTTTTCTCTCAATCCCCATTCTACTAAATATATAGAGTAAAAACAATACAAACATGGAAGCACTTCTTGATGGCACAACTCTGTGCAAGTTATTGTGCAGCCTTATGGAATCACATGAACCTACAATACTTGGACAATTGAAAGGGAATACAAGGATGCCAGTTATTTTTGTTAAGACAAGTTTTTTTCATATAAAAATCTTTAAATGAAATTAGAGTTATATTGCATACATGGATGGATAATAATCAGATCCTTGTTGTTATGTTTGGCATCCTTGAATATATCTTTTTTCTCTTCAAATAGTAATAGTTTTCCTCTTGGATATAAAATGAAAACCAAATGTGTAAAACACAAATAAATGAATAAACAAATAAAGAATGCATCTCATAAGGCTACAATAAGAAAGTAAAATGATGTTCCGAACCTGGAACCACTTAGCGTGGCGCAGAGCAGCCAGAGCGTCAAGGCATTTTTGCCTGTCCAAGACGTCCGCTGGGTCTTTCACCATACCCGAGGTTACATCTAAAAATGGATTTCAAGTGTCAAAATGGTGATGAGGAACGGGTGTTTGACCAGGTCAGCGAGGCTGGCAGAGAACAAACACATTGCCACACATACCAAAGTTTGTTTCCAGGACAACCTGCAGTGGGTTGTGAGATTTTGTGATTTCTGAAAAAAGCTAACTGACACAGGAAAACTGACTACACAAACCTACACATGGTCAAAGTGAGTGGATACAGATCAACAGTGTACGAGATGTTAAGTCACTATATTCTGTGAGAAGAGTGTGAATTTACTGACTCAACAATAAACACAGTTGGACTCATGTGTTTGTAGCTGAATTACATGTGTTAATCTCCCAGATATCTTGAAGCCAATACCATTTTATCAGGTAATTGTGTTGTAAATTTGCCTACAATCTCTTTCAGTAGCATGGAGAAGTTGTTTTTGCTCATTTTCAAAGAGAGAAGAGGAATTATAAGAACTTTGAACCTCAGTTAAGACTAAAGATTTGCAACAAGTAGACTTTCACATGCTTCAAAATGATACTCTACATTATTTTTTTTAGGTTCAACAGTATCAAAAACTGCCAGGAAAAAGTTCTACATTAATGACCTGGAGTTATCCAATAATAAAAGCAGCTTGTTTGTTGCCAAAATGATAAATACCGAAAATAAAGAGCTGCACAAGAGATGCAATTTTCCAAAAAGTTTCCTGGACTACTATCTCAATGTTATTGGTCTGATTTTCATACTCTACTCAGGACTTTGGACTGTGTGGAAATGTAGACCACAAAGGACCACAAGACCCACTTGGTTCTTTGAAGAGAAATTCCTGGAATCGGACAAGAAGTCTGGTAAAATCTGTAATCACTCCCAACCACTCCAATACATGATGGCTGGGGTGCTGCTGGCCGAGCAATCTGAGTCTACATCGTGCTTATGGAGCTTATGCTGCAAGCAGATGGGCAAGGTTTGATTTCGGTTCCTGTCTCCTCTCTGATGGAGTTTCCTGCTCTGTCCACTGTCCCATTTTCTCAAATAATAAAAAACGACACTAAAAAACTCCAAACAACTAAAAAGAGGCGACTGACCATGCGTTCTGGGATTGCTGGAATTACTGAGATTGAGTTTAGGGATCCATTTGATCCAAACTTTACCCTTTCCATGTGCTGGCAGTTTGTAATTTAAAGATAAATTTACCCCAGACTATCTGTAACCATTTCACAACTGTTTCACCTCTAAAGTCAATTTTTGGACTAGTATCAGTGCTCTGTACCATCTTGAGGGAAGGTTGCAGAGGTTGAGTTGTAATCTGAAAAGTGGATGGACATGAATATTTAGAGGCAGTTGGATAAAACCCACTCAGAGGTCCTTGGGGAAATCAATTATCTTGGAGAAAAGTTGTATTTATTGGAGATAACTGTGCTCAGGCCCAGGTTTAAGCCTGGAGAGCAAAAGACTCTGGGACTTCTACAGGCTGACAGAGTATTTTAACAGGCTGTATTTCTTATCTAATAAAACCAGTTGAGACAGTGTCAGTCGGTCCAAGCTTGATTTCTGGTTGCAAATCTTTGGTCTTAACTTGCTCTAGTTTGAAGTTGATGCAGAGAGAAAGAAAGAGTCATATCTCTTAAAAAATGACCTGATAAAAAGTAGCATGGCAGTAGTAGGTGTGGCAAAGTTTTTGGGATGTGAGAAAACCTTGGTCAAAAATCCTTCCGAAGCTGTTGGGCCCTTCTTAACCTCTGATAGGAGACAATGTAGAAGTTTTTTTTTCTTGTCTTTTTGCTTAGAGGAGTAAAGGGGTCTGTGTTCTGGACTGTATATATCACTACAGATATAAAGAGGAGGAAGCAATGGGTGCTGAAGAAGAGAAAAAAACATGAGAGCTACCAGCAAACAAAAGGGGTTAGGATATCACTGCATGCATACCTAACATCAGCAGGTTGGAATAAGACCCCAACAATCCAGAGGCTGTACTCAGGTCCAACCAAAGATTCCTCTGTCATAGCTTTCTTACCTGAGCACTTAACAATACTCCCCTAAGAATAGTTCAAGATAGTCAGGTTTACAAAAAAAAAATATTGGTCAAGATTTGTCTTCATATTTTCAATTAAATCAAAAAACAAAAAATGGTCCTCATCTTTCTGTTTTCAGAGAAATCAAAAGACAAAAACTGTCATTTTTTGCTGAACAGATCTTCAGTTCATCTCCTAGTGGGCCCAATTTGAGTTTTTATGTGTGTAAAGGAACATAAAATCAACTCAGGGGAGCACTTTAGGAACAGGGGACCTCAGCATGGTGAACTCTTCACCAGTACACAAAGGAAGATTTGTTTCCTGTGAGAAATAACTTCTTATTCTTTCTGCCAAATCTTGTTTTGAGAGAGAAGATTTCAAACAAGTTTGCAGACTTGATGCCAAATTTAAACTTCAGGAACAGAACTGTCTTCTGTTGACTTTTACTTTTATCTTCTGCACTCTTTTTTTGTCTCCTGATCTTTAGGAAAGCTTGGAGAAAAGATAGAGCAATGGACGTCTCCTGTTGATTCTGGCTATTAATAAAATAGAAAGTGAATCTCCTGAAACACAGGAAACAAAATAGAATCTCACCTGGGAATAACTAGACTTAACACAATGCAAACACTGATCATGCTTTGTTTAAGGGATAAAGATAGCATTTGAGAGGAAGGAGTTACAGAGCAAAAAGCCCAAGAGCAGAACTGCTGGCACTTTCCTCTTTCTTCCTTTTAGGTCAAGTAATCTGCCCCACTTCATTAAAAAAAAAAGAAGAAAAAAAGGTTAAAACCATGGGGTCTCCCTCCTCAAATTAGTAAACAAGATTATCTAAATGTGCTGCTTTATTACAACCCAAATTCCCAAAATGCTTGGAAGCCGTGTAAAAGATAAATAAAAAAAGAATATAATGGTTTGCAAGTATAGTTTGGAAATTACAATTTTGTTCCACTTCAGGGTTTGAACTCCTTAAGTTTCCTATGTTGTGTATTAAACTTCTTTGTGCACCGAATGTTTTTACTGGGTGACAGGTTGGGATTGCAGGGAGGCCAGTTTAGCAACTGTACTCTTCTACTGTGAAGCTACACTGTTGTAATACATACAGAATATAGCTTAACATTATCTAGTAGTATCATGCAAGTTAGTCAGCTTTTGGAGCAACATATGCTGCCGTGCAGTGTATATCAGTATTAATGGAGCCCTCCCTGATGTGTGAGATAGTCTTAAAATGGACTCTGATGAATTCCCTAAACCAGCAAGGAGGCTGGATTTTTAACTGATAAGCGGTGTGGCCCCTCTGTGGTTTAAGATGAAGGACAAGACAACCATGACTTCTAAAAGAATATCAACATTTGATTTATCAGATCACAGGTCAGTTTTCCACTTCACCTCAGGCTCAGTGTAGTCTCCAGCGGTTCTGGATCATGTTTAAATATAGTATTCACTTTGCACGGTGCATTGTGGATGCTGCAATGATCTGTGAGAACAGAAAATAGTCTTTGGAAGTGATTTTAAGCCAATGCAGTATTTTCCACCAGAGCCGTGTCAGTTGTTAATGCAATACTGAAGGAGGGCCTAAAGATCACAGCCATCTGATTCACGAATTATTATCCACGATTGTTGTATCATGTGCTCACGCAGTCTCTCACAGATCTAATCTGTACTTCTGAGACTCAGCCTTTCTTGATTTCTGGTTCATGTTACTAACTTATTACAAGTTAACCTCATTAGTTAGGAGATGTTGCTTCGGGTGTTTTAAAGTACTTACACTACTTTTCAGTGTTGTCCCTGTCACAACCTTTTTAAAACATACTGCTGGTACCAAATATGAAATGAGTATATAGTTTTAATGAAAGAAAATTGTTTTCTTTCTGTACTATATTCAATTAAAAAGGTTTAAATGATTTGCAAACCATCAACATCTGTTTTTATACAACTTTGTACAACTGCTCAATTTTGGTGGAATTGGGGTTGTAAGATAAATGTATTCTTTCTAATTTGATTGAATTTGTTACTTTGAAATTTCAGCAGGTAAAACACTCTGCACAAAGAAAGAAACCCTGTGGGAAAGAGACCACAACTCAAGTTCTGATGAGCTTGCACTCCTCGGTTGCCCCATCATTTTTGATTTCTGAAATGAATCACAAATGGAGAGCAAGATTCCAGGATGATCGGATTCAAAGCCCAACAAAACAGCGTTTGTGGAGTGCCAGCAGGATGCTGCTCTTCAGGGATTCAACCAACATATCAAGACTGATTTCATAGAGAAAGAGCAGAAAGGCAAGAAAAGAAGTGCACAGGAAAGGGCTGTGAGGGGGTCTCCAACCTCCGTCCCGGCCCGTCTCCTCTCTGATGATGGGTGAGGTCAGTGTGATCGTCACTTGCATCTTTGGTTCGGTGCAGGAAGTCAGAATGATTGCTGCTTCCTGGATGGATCCCTTCACCTCGTACTTCTCTGGTGTTACAACCTGGGAAAACAGTGAAGAGGTTCATGTACTTAGCATGCTCCTTAAATTCACAGTAAATGCAACTGGTACACCAAATCCAAATTCACATGGCCATTTTAACTGGTACTGGGGGTGGTTTTAAGGCTGTGTTTCTACCAAAGGGTCCAGTCCAGTTTACAAATCAGACAAAACACTTTAAAGAGCTTTCTTAAATAGGAACTATCCTCCAGGTGGCTCCTAAAGAACAACAGCCAAAGTGGCCGCTGTTAAATGAACTGTGGAGTGATTATTATGTGAGGACAGTACTGTCAGCTGTTTGGGGAGGTGCTCCACGATGCGTGTCAGGAGGCTCTTGGTGGGTTTCTCTGAGCAGAGCAAGACCAGGTTTACATTCTTGTCACCGCGAAGCAGCAAACCTTTGGCAAGGACCCCGACCCTCATCACTCCCTTTAGAGCCCTGAGAGTCAAAAGAGAAAAAAGGAAATACATGGAAACATCAGTCTGGAAAATACATTCTGCGTAAAGACCTTCATACGACTGTCTAGACTAATGTCTACAGTCAGTACACAATGTGAATTAGGGTAAAAGGAATGAAATCACCCACATCTCGGACCTGTCTTTAGCAGGTTCTTTCTTCTCTTTGTCCTCCTCTTTCCCCTTGTCTTGGTCAGTAATTATATCTGAGACCAGTTTCAGGGCTCGTTCTGTGATGGACACAATCTTCTGGATAGACTGGAGTTCATCCTCAGAGGGATAAATGGCTGCGTGTTTGGTCATGACATAACGGTCATCTGAGGAATCAGGCCGCCGAGGAGGCTGGAACACAGAGGGACAAAGTCAGACTCGTAACAGAGAGACTGTTTGGAATGGATCTTGTTTACACCTCGCAGTATCATCAGATCTGGGTGACTGGATTAAAAGCTTTAATCTCAGGTGTGAGTGCTCAGCAATGTCACCCAGATTCAACGTTAATGCTTGATATAAACAGCTTGAGAGTTCCTAATAAAGATTCAATAGACTGTTCACTCTGCTCAGGTACAATCTCAAACCCACCACAGGACCCTGTGGCTGCAGACCAGGCATGCCAGGCCTGACCCCCAGTAGACCAGGAGGCCCCTGTGGATACCCTCCATCCGGCAGGCGACGTCGATCGTCCCAGTGGTGCTGTTCCTCCTCCATGCGCCTCCAGTACATGTCTTCTTCATAACGCCTGAACAAAAAGAGACGATTAACTATCTATTACAGACTTAAAGGAAATTTCACTCAGATCCCGTTCTAACGTTTCAAAAGCTGACTGTGTGCTACAGACATACTAAATCTCCTACTTTACAAAAGAAATGAGCTTACCGCATCTCCATCCTCCAGCGCTCCTCCTCCTCTCTTCGTCTCCAGTACTCCTCTTTCTGCATCTGCTTCCTCATCTTCTCCTCCTGAATCTTTCTCGCCCGTATGCTCGGTTTGACTTCCACCTGCAGATCTGGGTTCACCTTTTTCTGCAAAACATGTAGAATACAAGCGTCACAAAAAAACATTTCCTCAGAGAGTCCTGGCAAATGCAGCAGGTAATCATGTTGGAAAAAATATCTTTGAATTAGACAGTCACCTTGTACTGCAGGCGATGTCTTCTCCCCTTTAGATGCATCTCCTTTGCGTTGGGATCATTGAAACTACATTCACACAGTTTGCAGTGGAAGCGGATGACTTTGCCTTCATCATTTCGGACCTAGAGATAAGTTTGAAACATTAAATCTTAGCTCAACTAGACTTACTGTATGTCAGATTAAGTCTACGCAGGGAGCTGCCAAAACGTACCTCTTCAACATAGTCATGACCAACTGGTTGAACGTCACTCTGCAGAGCAGCAAGAGCTGACGTGGAAAGAGAATCTGACAGATCAGTCTTTGCGTCCTGAAGACCTGAAGAGGGCATGGCAGGTTTAGAGTCGACTTTGGCCTCGACTCTACCCTCGTCCATCTTCACTGTTGTCTGTAGTTTATTCCCACCTGTGATTGAGAAATAAAACATTTAATCACAACAGTCAGGAGTTGAGAACAGTTGGTGGTACTCTTATTCCTTTGTGCATGCTCTATGGATCAGATGGTGTTTTCTTTGTGCATTTGCAAAGATTTAGGGAATGCAAAATCTCCAATTCTTGTATGAATCCACTTTTAGACACATCTTGGTACAGTGTAAATATGGCTTTTTTTTTTACCTTTTAATGGTGCTTTACTGCTAAAATCCTTTCACTCACCAACAAAGTTGATCTTGGGTGTGCTGACTTTCTTCCCAGCTGTGGCGGAGTTCACCGCAGAGAGGCTGCTGGCTAATGGGTTCTTGATTCCTCCCACACCGCTGCTGACGATGTTGACGGGTTTCAAGCAGGTAGCGCTGGAGGCGGAGGCAGTGGAGGAGGAGGCGGAGCCACATAGAGAGCTAGAGGTGCTGGAGCTGTTTAGGGAAGCTGTGGTGGTCTTACTTGGGGCAGCTGTGGTTGAGGATGACGTCTGAGTGACCATACTGGGCTCCGTGGAGGGGATGGGCTTTCCAAGTTTGGTGTGAAGCTTCACGACCTATTTAAAAGACGTAGTAAGTAACAGTAATTTGGATTCAAAATTCAACTTCGTATTTACAGGCTTACGGTTGAGGTTCTGTATTTCTGTTAATGCAGCACTGCCTTGTTTAAAACTTTCTTTCTTAGCCCTCAAATTTGAACCATAACTGAAAAACACATTTTCAGTTAATAGGTTTTGAAGAAACAAGCAAAACGAGAGCATACTCCATGAAAGGAAACTGGAGCATCCAAAGAAAACAGACAGAAGACGTTTGTTTCACTAAGCTGTCAGTGTTTCGTTGTCAGTAGGAGTGGATTTGAAAGGATGATTTTTAGGCTTCATCCTCCACATCAGTGCACAGGATAGAAGATTATGTATATTTGACGTTAAGAGGATTCATGTTTGGCAAGTAAGTCTCTTTGGAAACAAGACCACTGAGCAACATAGGCAGACATCAGAGCTCGAGTTTAAAGTTGTGATTTAAATGTTTAGAGAGAAGTCATGACAAAGACGGAGTTTACTTTCACACGGCTCATCTCCTTACCTTCTGGTGTTTGGCTCCTCTGATATGTGCGGCGTAGGCGTCAGCGCCAGTGCAGGATACATCACAGAGTTCACAGCGGAGTTGATTCTGAGCATTTCGGGCTAAAACTCCTCCACTGCTCCCGCTGCTGGTGCTGCTCTGAGTAACTTTGAGGGCTGCCTCTTTCTTCTTGTGTTTCTGACCCTCCAGATGCTCCTTGTAAGTCTGAAGTATTTAGTGGATAAAGTATTAAAAATCACAACTATTCCCAATTGCTCTGCAGTATTTACCATGATCTAAATTTGATAAAGGCCTCTTAGTTTACAGATTATAAAACCAACAATAGGAAAAAAGTTAACAGATGAAGAAAGAGGCCTTTCATTCCCACAAATCTTGGGATTTATACAATTTTGACCAGATATACATGTTTCTGAATTTGAATCTGTGTTCCTGTGTGCTGTATGAACTCACCTGTGGGCCGGCACAGCTGATCTTACAAACATCACAGTAGTGGATCTGAGGGGGTTTTGGCGGCTGTTTGGGTCGTAGCTGTTTGCTCTGGAATGAGGGTTTCTTCGTGAATGTGTTCCCAGTCCACGCTGCTGTTGCTGCCACAGCTGCCACCGCCTGCTTCTGCTGCTGCTGCTGTTGGTAGTAGCTGGAAGCTGCAGAGTAAACCGCTGCCTCGTAGCCAGAGTACGATGTTCCTTGAAAGGATGAGGAGAAAAAAGAACGACTTAGAATCTGCTCACTGTTTTGTGTAATCCTACTGCCATCGTTTGATTGATTGCTGTAACTCTCTTCTCTTTGGTCTTCCTCATAAATCTCTCCATAAACTTCGACTGGTTCAGAACTTTGCTGCTCGTATCTTCACCAAAACTCACTCATTTCACCACACCACCGCTGTCCTACAGCAGCTCCACTGGTTCTCAGTTAAATCCAGAACAGAAATCAAAATCCTCCTGTATGCATTCAAGGTCAGCCACCCTATCTCTGTGATCTCCTCCGACATGCCCTCTGCCCGCCTCAGCACCTTGGGGAGTAGAGCTTTCAGCCGCTCTGCTCCAAGCTCTGGAACTCAATACCACCAGACATCTGGAACACTGACCCTCTCCCTCTCTTCAAGACCAGACTCCAAACCCAGCTGCTTAGAATAGCCCATTCTGTTTTTATCTGTAAAGTGACCTTGAGTGTTACAAAAGGCACTTATAAATAAAATGCATTATTATTATTAAGATTGGCCAAATCCTAACACAGACTTGAGAGTGCGTTACTGGGTGTGTGAGTATTCTGTGCTGTCCCACTTTTAAAATGTCAAATTATGAATTGGAAACCTTGCACGCCAACATGCTGAACTAACAGCTTAACATATGTGCACTGTCACTTTAAGCAAGTTAAAATCAAGGAGCAAACAGGCTGTGCATTCTGACTTGCTAAAACTAGCTAATTACATATGAAAAGACAAAACACAGCTTTGTTTGTTCCACTTTTCCTACAACGTGTCATGCGAACCATTTCAGTAAACAGTAAACCCTGTGTCAGGCCTTACCAGAGTATGTGACAGCGTTGGTGCTGTATGTCGGGCTCTGGGAGTACGAAGGAACCACAGAAGCAGCAGCAGCCACAGGCTGGACTGTGGAGGTCACTGGGTAGATGGAGAAGGTGGAAGAGGCCGGACTGGGAGCTGCTCGTTTTATCACGGTCACCTGTCGGGTCTGCTGGCTTTGTGTGTATGATGTTACACCCTGACTGTATCCTGGTTTGGGGGCTGAGAATAGAATAAAATAAACAAAAAGAACATTAGCTCTCAGAATATTTTCTTTCTATCCCAACTTTATGAAACGTGTGTATGTTAGTGAATGTTTTCTATAAATCAGTAAAATTAATGATCTGGGATGCTGACATTAATTCAATGATACCTGTTGAGAGATTTCTTTACATGCTTGATAGCAAACAAATTGAGAGTTGAATAAAACTTCACTATATATTGCTTCCTTTTAAATTAAAGGGTAGTTTTATTATATCAGTAAAGTGACTACAATGCCTAATGAAATCTTTGGCAACAGAGTAAGAGTTGCATAAATGACACAGCTCAAGCTCTGCAAGTACAATGATCTTATACAAAAACACCTCTTTAAAAAAAGGGTATAAATGAATCACAATCACTAAGGAGTGTATTTACCCGTTTGGTAGTAGGACTCTGCCACGCTGGGTTGTGGCTGTGCAGCAGCAACAGCAGCTGTAGCAGTGGGCTGCTGGTAATACTGCTTACTGTCATAGGCCACAGCAGGAGCTGTGGAGCGGACATACGAGTAAGTGTCCTGAGAAGGAGAGTAAAAAGAGTTAGGAGCTGAATACAAACTTTGGGGTTACACATGTCAAAGTGTGCTTCAAAAGAAAATTAAACTCAGATTTCATTATTTCTGTAAACTCCAAGTGTACCTGGTAGTTTTGTGAGGTGACAGGTGGAGGGGGTGGAGGAACTTCAGGCTGGTGCTGAGCGTAGCCATAGTCGGTGGCAGCATGTGTCGGCTGGTATCCTCCATAAGCTGCAGCAGTAGCAGCAGCTGCCACAGCTACCGGCGCAGGCCTCGCTACGGCAACGGTGGCTGCTGTGGGAGCATAGGCTGCTGCCACAGTGTGAGCCGCCACAGGCGCTTGATGAACGGTGTAACTGGCCACTGTGGTGGGATGAGTGTATGCTACCCCAGCTGCTGGCTGCTGACTGTTACAAAACACATAAAGGGCAACAGATTAGGTGCAGTAAGGATAAAGAGTTTTGCACACATAGGCTCTGTAAATATATATGTTCTTTATACAATCTGCTTGTTTTTAGTGGTTATAAATCAGAGATTGCTTTGTGCTGCTGCCATGTTTCGATTTGATCATTTTAAAATGCTCTGTCTTAAAAATCCTAAATCCTCCATATTAGGAGAGAGTGAAATGACCTAATTCCTAAACTATGGAGTTTTGTTGCTTTTTAAGTAAGTTAGTAAAAGCATAATATAAAACAAAAAAAAGGGTCTCTATTCAAAAGATGATCCCTGCCCAGCTCTTTTTGGTCTGATGTTGATGAGGTGGAAAAAAAAATCTGAGCAAATATGTGCACTATGTGTGTGTGTGCTGCAGTGATCATCATTAACGCATAAAATCACACATATTTATGGTGGGTGATGAAATATTTGATGGACTGTACTGCATATGTAAATGGATTAAAAATGTATGGTCTGTCTTTGGATCACTGATGTTGTAAAAGTCGTTAAGAGCCACAACCTCAGACTAACCAAGTGCAATAAATGAAAATGTCTTAGAAGCCGATCATTTTTACATTATAAATCCTTTCCTGTGGTTGATTTTAGGAAATATTCCAATAATGTCAGATAATAGATTTCTAATTTACATGAGCTATAAAGGCAAAATCATCAGAATTAAGAAAAACACTTGAGACTTAAAACAAAGAATATATGACAGTTTACTTATTCCAATTATGAAAGAATTACCTTTTATTATGTCATAATTTTTTTTAAGTGTAATTGTTTAATAGTGGCATGAAAACATACCAACACAAAACACCAGGCTTCAGATGCCACTGTGCCATTATTATTTAACTAAAAGCTGCAATCCCTCTCAAGCTCCTGGTGACTCAGTCAGTGAAGCACTCCAGATAAAAAGAAACCTTTTCACATGTGTTTGGCTGAGGGGGTGGAAATAAGATTGAATAAAATAAAGTGGGGGGATGGATAAAAAGCTCTGTATGTAACCTGTGGGTGTTTTGTAGGTCAATAGTGCAGGACGGGAAGCACATCTCACCTTATGTATGCACCGAAACCAAAAAAGTGTATTCATCCCATTTACATCCACATCCCCCCTGCAACTGGCAGAGAATAAATAGACCAGGGCACTTTTTTCTGGCTCAAGTGTTGGTAAAGTAGGGTGGCAATAACAAAATGTACAATCTGTTCCTTCAATATCAGGCAGCCGAAGAACAATCCAGGGTGAATAAAACAAGCATTGGGATCTTTTCTGTAACCTGTACTATTGGCTGATAATTTTGTGCTGTGATGTCTCAGACTGTTTGATAGTCTGCTCTTCTACTGTTAGTCCTGTGATTAACCCAGTGTCTTCCCAATCAGCTGTTACAAGCCCAATCGAAAATTTTCAGGATTTTTAAGTGGGTTTTTATGAGCAACAAATCACTAATAAGTGTTTTTACCTCAATAAGTGCCTATTAGGTTGACTCCATTACATACAATATCAGTGCTATTGGAAAAAAACATTATGCAAGCACATTTAAGCATGTATGGGCCAAGACTTTCCCTCTTTTTTTCATGTTAAATTAATTTTACTATTTTATTTATTGATTTATTTTGTGGTTACCATGTTTCTCTACATCACGTCAATCACGTCTTTTTTCTTTTATTGTTAACCATGACAGCTTTTTTAAAAGGCACTAATCAGCTGCATCCTAAAGTGCTTTGTTTTAGCTGCTTTGCCACTCATATGAAGTTAAACATTTGGAGATTATGCCTTTATAGAAAGCATTTCAGGCTAACTGAGGTTCACAGTAGCTCATCACCACACTTTTTCTACTGTTCTGTTAGCTGCTATTATGTTGTTCTTTACAGCTTGTGGGTCTGAGGAAGTCCTCATATGGAACATGCCCCAGGTTTCAGTGATAGTTGAGACAAGGGCTGGGCGATAAAACAATAACAATATATATCAAAAATTTATTTCCCTCAATATCAATATAAAACATGGTCAATATTTTTTTCAATAGTCGGCATTCTGCCATGTTTTGGTAGACTACACCAATAGCCAATGAAAAGGGACGTGGCTCCGGGTCTGCTTTGCGCTGAACCAATCATGTGCTGAATAAGAACAAAGTAGAAACAACTGCGTAGAAGCAGGCTGCAGCTACACGCAACCATCACATTCTAACATGTGAAGCTGACAGCACTGTCGGACTGAGAAAAAAAGAAAAGAAAATGAGTGCTACCCCTGGCAGAAATGCAGATAAAGGTTCAACAGATGACAACATCGTCAACAACACTGGCACGAAAATGTCGGTGGTGTGGAGGTATTTTGTTTTTTTGAGGTCAGACATGTTCTCGCAAAGTCGGGAGTACCGAAAATCTTTTTCACCACCTGAAGCAGTGCCACGCTGCAGAGCATGCGCAATGCAAAGGTTACAAACCACGAGTGGAGCAAGGAGCCCATGGCACCTGTCCAGCCGAAACACATGACCATTTAGCCTGCTTTCTTTAGAGCAATGCCTTACAACAAAATGTGAGAGCAACACAAAGACCTTACAGATGCAGTAGCTTATTGTATTGCAATGTATTTTGTATATTTTGTATTTCATTTTTTATATCATGATATATATCGATATTGACTGATATAAAAAAATATATTGAGATATACTTTTCCCCATATCGCCCAGCCTTAGTTGAGACACAAATCCAGCTTGTACTGGCCTTTGTTTACAAAGAGAGTAATCAGTGGAGAGCACGAACAGCTACAGTGTGGCAGAAAATGTCAAAACTTCTAATAGATCAGCAGAATAAATGTCCCTTAGCATAGGTTTGTGCACATGGACAGAAGGCTTCATCTGTGGGCTGTGAATGGAGTGTATTTTTACAATTACAATGACCAAGTAACACAGTAATTACTACAAAAAGGAATAAGAGCTCCGGTTGCTTGGTAAAGAAGTTGATTAAATGGGACTGGAAACGCAAGTCTAGACAGAAATATCCTGTCCTGGTTGTGTGGATTACTGGATATAGATATGGACACCAGTGGACTATGACGGCTTACCTGAGTTATTTTTGGCCTGAAAACGTGACGTTACAGCTGTGTGTGTTTATATTGTCTCATTAAACACATGATGTGTTAAAATTGTAAAATATCGTATATATATGCATCGACGTTAAAGGTTTCTTTTCAGTTACGTTGTTTGTATCGCAGCCTGTTTTCCAGCCATCCTCCGCTGACAGCTCACTGCAGCAGCAGCAGCAGCAGCAGAGGGGAACCCTCCCCCTCACCAACAATGGCTCTGCAGGAACGTTCAGCCTCCATAACATACAACGTACACACTGAGGGAGCTGTAGAGCTCGATGTAAATACTAAATAACTTCACGAATGAACCTCTCGGGTCTCCTTACCTGTACTGAGCGGCAGCGCCGTGGGTAAATCCAAAGTAATTGCCGGTAGCCATTTTGGCATCTTCACCGAGCCGGCCGGGCACTGCGGAGGACAGACATACACAGGATGATGCTAAGCTAAGCTAACTGTTAGCAGGAGGCTCCATCGAGCGCTCCAAGGACTAACCGTTAACCTCAGTCTCTCAATGCTGCTCCCTATATAGCATCGAAACGTTCAAAAAACAGCTATAGGTTAATTTAATCGTTTTATCAGTACTCACCATAGGTGAAGGAGACCACTGGACATATGGGAATCATTGGTTTCGTGTATTCTACCGACGCCCGGACTGCAGACCTGCCTGCTTATATTTCATGTCGTTCCCGGAAAAGCTGCGTAAGCGCATGCGCAGATTGGTGAACGAGGATGTTTGTTTTCGTATTGATTGAGATCAAGAGAAACTGATTCAGAGCTGATAAATTATTAAAACCAGTGGTTCTCAACTGGTCTCACTCTGAGACCCACATTTTCCGATGGTCCTTAAGCCGCGACCCACTTTTATAGAAAACCTTTAAAGACTCAAATCTTTAACACAAATACACCTGTTTTATTAAGTGAAGTGTATTTCAGAGCAGATGAACAGAGGATGCCAACTACTAAAGTTGCATCTACAGAAAATATCAAATAAATATCAAATAACATAAAAATAAGCTATTTTTAAAAAATAAAAGACATGTCAAACATCAGATGCGCATTAAATATTTACTTTTTTGACCAGCTGTTTGCGACCCATCCAGAACATGTCCCCGACCCACTTTTGGGTCGGGACCCACCAGTTGAGAACCACTGATATAAACAGCACCTTAAATTCAAAATGTAAAGTGCTTGTATAATTGCATACAGAACAACTGCACAAAACATATATGCATATGTTTATGCTTGAATAACACTGCAAATCTCTCCACCATGGGGAAAAATAAAGACCTATCTTTTATAATTTCATAAGGGTAGCACACATGGTTGTGTTCATGCATTCAATACTACAATTGCGATACATAAGTGTGTGCATATTGATGATTGAATGATGGTCACATATTTGGTTTGTCCTGGGCCACACTTTCTAATAACCCTGTGAAAGAGTTTTCCCTGACTTACATTGTGCTCCCTTTAAAAGACAAATTTTTGACCATAAGTGGAGCATCTGCGGGGTACTTCTTAATCGATTGTGATGGCGATCATTTAAAAACAAGAAACAAGATATGTTAAGTATTCACCGAAAACTCTCTCTAAAAATATTTCATATATGTATTACATTTGGCCAGCTGGACTATCCCTCAAAGTTTTTATTTTTAATGTATTAGTTTTATTTTTCTAATGCTCTTTTTTATAAAAGAAAGTGGGGTAATGATATCCTACCTATCTCTTCTTTTTTTTATTTATTTATTCGTTTACTTGACAGGGACAGTACATCAAGCATTGTTGCATCTAATTAAAGAGCAACCAATGCTGTGTATTCAGGACTTCTTGCCGTGGCTAATTTGCAGTCCTTGTCCCTGGGTAGACAGCGGGAAACACCACTTAATACATAAACCACTTAATAAAAAACAACTTTATAGCAGGTGCAGACAGGCAATAATATGTTTGCATAATAACAACAATAAAGCAGACAAAACAAGCAGTTTCTTCTATGCACAAAAATTCAGACACTTACATTTACATATGCATGCATACATACATACACGCACACAAACATAGATGCATACATGCCATAATATACATATATGCAAGTTAGTGTTCACAGATTTGTCTTTGTTTCAGCCATAGTCTTGTTTTGATATTTCGGGGTTTGGGGTCCTTAAATGTTTTTATTTCTGATGGTAATATATTTCAAATCTGTGGACCTTTGACTAGAATCTAGAATTGAGTTTACAATCCTCTTTATGACATGTAAAGCGCTTAATGGCAGGGCTCCATCATATCTCAAAGAGCTTGTAATACCTTACTTTCCGTCTAGACCGTTACGCTCACAGTCTGCAGGTCTGCTCGTTGTACCAAATGTCTCTGAAAGTAATATTGGAGGTAGAGCTCTCAGCTACCTTCAATACTTTCAGGAGGAAGGAGCGTTCAGCAACTTCTTCTCTTGGGTTCCTCTGGACTGTTGCTGCAGACATGAACATCAGCCTCACTGACATTAATTGCATAAAACTAGAGTTAACAATTATTAGGCCTGCTGACTGTAATCACATTAAATTAATCTTACATTGTCCATAATTACTCATAGCCTAACCCTGTAAACTGAATTCATTTTGTTTCACCATTACATGAGCTGTTGTTGTTGCTGCTGTTGTTTTAATGTTGCTGAAAAGTTTACAGCAAAGGGTTTACAGTCCCCTCTGACTGCTCCTCTTGTAGAAGCTCCAGTATATGAGTATTTTTCCATCGTTTCACGAACTAGGTCTTAACCACTGAATTAATTTTGACTGTTGTCTATCCTCCGACCAGGGGGTGGCAGTGTGCATTTTAACACGTTGATTTTTGGTCCGCCTGTTTCAGAGAATAAGAAGTCTAAATCTCCCACATTGCAGTGCGACAGTTCTGACTGCTGTTATCAAACAGAGCTGAATCGGATACTGTAGGTTAGTGTGTCAGGGGTTTACTGTTTCTGACCCACACCCCCAGCCCTTCAGGTTCTGTGTGAGGCCGTCACTGTCCGCAGGATGAGCGGACTCCGAACCATCCTCGCCTCTTCCGCACTGGTGGCCTCGCTCGGTCTAGGGTACGGGACGTGGGTTATGATCGCTCCGGGAGAGGAGCGGCGGAGGGAGCTTGTGAAGGTGATCCGGCTTCTATGATACCAAAGCTCACAATATCCGTACTTAAGTGACTGAAAACTGTGACTGTTAACATCTGAATTTGACCCGGGCATACTGAGTGTATATTCCAAACTGAGAAGTATGAGCTTTAGATTTAATTCAACAATCTTTTTTTTCTTCAGAATGAATGGAAATAAAGGAACATCAAAATATAAATTGAATAAAATTTATTAGAAATTAAAACTACTGGAGCCCTTTGTGTTCACCTATATAATTTAAACAGATTGAAGAACTTAATGATCCTGTTTGTGGACCTAGATAAAGCAACTTACCTGTTGTTACATAGACAATTCTGAAGGGGGCAGCACCGTTACTTACATTTATGCTCATAGTTGGGTAGGGACAACAACTTAAAGGGATATTCCGGAGTAAAATTAATTTAGAGTCAAATACGCAATAACACCGAGTTAGACACCCCGTCGAGAGGTGAATGCTGCTCAAGGAAGAACTTTTATGATCATTTCTTTATCATTTCCTTTAAGTAATACTCATCATATTAATCATTTTGCACTGCAGATGTGGTAGTTCTTCTACCTTAGCGTCTCGGTCTGATTGCATTTCCATGAAGAAATGATCATAAATGTTCTTCCTTAAGCTGCGTCACTCCTCAGCAGTCCGTAATGGACCGGCCTGAGGTCTCGCTACAAACAAGCGGCTGCTGGAAGAGAGTGGGTGAGTTGTGTTTAGTCTCTTTGCTAAAGAAATTAGTCAAAGCTAAAGAGATGTTCTGTGGCTGGGACCCTATATGTACTGTTGATAAAGTTAGGTGCTGTTCTGAGCATTATTTTAGGCTATAGAATGGCGTTTTGGTTGAGTTTTTTTTTTTTTTTGGCTTCTCAGACCGCTGTGTGTTGCTATTGTGCGGTCGTTACTAAAGTTGGTATAACTAGAGAAGCAAGCAGTCGGCAACATTCATTACAACAGGGTGTCTAACTCAGTGTTGCAGTGTGGTTGACCCTGACTCAATTTTATGCTAGAATATCCCTTTAAAGCAAGTATTACTTTACACGCCTCATCAACCCACCTCTAGTCTGCGTTTAATTAATGTATAGTCATAATAATAGTGATAATGGTGACTGAGAATTATAACCTTTATTCATACTTAAATATCATTGATCGATAACCCTCTTTCACAAAAGTATTGAGTTAATCGCAGAAGCAATAAAAACAGCTTGCAAATCAAATGAAAAGTTAGATGTTAAAATTTGAAACTCTTAAATGTGATTAATTATGACATGTAATTGATAAGTATTTGAAGCTATAATTAAACAATGCTTTGGTTATAAAATGTACACCATAGTTAAAATGAGTTTTGATTAAAATTATGGAATAGGTAACTAAATATGAGCCCCAAAAAAGTGTGTTAATGACAAAGAGCTGCTGCAACTGGGTTAAGGAGTCAGGGCAGCAAACAAAAAGCTGTTTGTTTCAGTTCTGAACAAACTCATGGAACATCCAAAATAACAGTTTCTAAGTGTGTGTTTGATGAAATTAATCTAAATAATGAAGAAACTCAGAAAGTCTCTCTTTACATAGAAAATTTCGTGTCTCAGTCTGTCTGGAAGATTTTTGATTATACATTTAATTTGAGCTTTTCATCAGTCTAGATGCTTTGATATCTATATTCTTTGACTCTCAATTTTGAATCCTTTTCTTGTAACGACATTAAAACACCTTTGGTCTGTTGCTCTAGCTCTGGTGAACAGCATAACTTGTGTCCACATTGAGAGCATATTAAAACATTCAACAATGCAACCTGTTCAAGGCATAAAAATGAATACATAATGCATGGTCAAATAAGAAAAAAAAAATTAGATACCAAATGAATCATTCCCTCACCATACTTCCACCTTTGAATACAACAGTAGCCTGCGCAACACTTGACAAAGGTCCAGAAAATTCAACCAGTATGGACTCCGAATAGATTTTTGTATGATTAGAGCAAATTTAAAGATTGACAGATTCTTTGTTATAGGGTGGTGACAGCTTTGTGTCAAAGAACGAAACATAATGGTATGAATTGAATTTTGAAATTTGACATGAATTTTTGTTTTGGTTGCTTGTGAAAGAACTGTGAAGAAGGGTCACAGTTATATTCTGGGTGTCTCTCCATATTTTTGCCCCTTAGAATCTACCTGAAGCAAACCCATTAAGGATGGAGGAGACAAGGAAGAGGAACGCTCTGGTGATGCAGGCCTTGAAGGAGGCAGCTGAGACAGATGAAAACATAGCAAGAGGACTCAGGCCCAAATAAACCAATCTGGATCCAAGACCTTTATGTCTGCAGAGTCTGCATAAAGTGACAGCTGCTGGGCCAAAATATGGACACTGGATTAGACACTGTCTAATCTCCAAGCTGTAATGTCTTCACTGTGTGATAACACTTTCAATATTGATTGTTCAAATTGTATATTAAAATTATCCCTAAAATTTGTCGTCCTCTTTATTATGGCATGATGCTTATGAAGTAAATTATCAGTATCATTTAGCGTCAAAGAGGCTGGGATGCTTGGGCGCATCTCAACAGGGTTATCATTGAAAATTGTGGAAATTTACCTGAGGATTCCTTTGAGGATTTTATTCCAAAAAAACATAAAGCACATTTCACTATATCATACTTATGGTGTCAACAAATACAAAAAAGATATTGTACTCGTCAACTAGTCATGCTGGCATATCACTGAGGGTTTTTACTTCTCTGTCTAGTAGCTGCAGAACCAGCATATGTTGCACTTAAGGAATGCATTCAGACAGTATCAAGATTTTAAATGAAGAAATTCCAGTAGACAAAAATGCAGAAATAATTAATGCTGCCAAAAGGAAAGGCAGTAACTTGGGAAAAATGAGGCACAGGACTGAATTTGTAATTAAACATTAAAGCCACTGTTGGGAGTTTTAGGATGTCCATGAAACAAATTGAAGTTCGTATTGATGTCTTTTTATGCTGTAAAATAGCAAATTAAAGCATCAGCAACAAGACAGGTAATTATGTTCTTAATTTTAATTGCCCTAATCCCGTGCAAGGGGTAGTTATCAGCCAAGCAGATGGGAAACAAGTTTTTTCTTTTTACATTTCTGACAATTATTTTAAAATTAATTTTACATTTGCCTGTCAAAACTTAGGGTGGTGGGATATTTTTTGTAAGAAGACTTCCTAAGCATGTAGAGGACATGATAATCAAAGACTGCTCGGTTTGAAGGGGGCTTAGCAACTGGGGGGCAATCTCAAGCAAAAACTAATTTAGACCGAAAATTGCAGCGGGCTTTGGTTTCTTTTTTTTTGTTGCATCGGAAACTTCTGTTGTGTTTTTTTTTTTTTTTTTTATTTGCAGCAGTGGCGGTTCTCGGCCACTGTAGATTTCTAATTTCTGATGTTTCACACTGCCAATCTCCCGCCACACACTCCAGACCTGTAGGTGGCGCCTTTAAGGTTGGTTAGTAAACCACCGACTGAACTCAAAGAGGGAGACGAAGAAGAAGAAGTTGCCCCCTTCCGACAAGAGATCTGCCCCATCATGTAAGCATTATCTAATTAAAAAAATAAAATTTAATTGTGGATTTAGACGATGACTTACAGGAGGACGGATTGACACGGTCCACGTATTGCATGTTTGTAACAGTGGGTACGAGTGATTTTACGAGACGTTGTTCACGTGCATCAGGGATGCAGCTCTGCAAACGTTAGCCGTCGCTGCTAGGCTATCACATTAGCATGTAGCACGCTTCCTCACCTCCATGCAAATAGAGAACAGTGTGTTTATTACGCAGATCAAACTCCTGTCCTCGCTGTAATGTGTCATCACTATAAAAGAGTTTCTGTGGGATAAATAAACTTTAAAAAAATTAAATTGCAACGTTGATGTTGAGTAGATTCAGTTTCAAACGCATCGAAAATGTAACAACTATCTAAATACGAGCGTGTATGTAAATGTGGAAGAGCATTTTTGCATACGTCCTGATCTGAACGTAAACATCGCGTACAGGCAGAATGAGATTTTATAGATTTTATCGAGCTTTCAAGAAAAATATATTAGCCTCTAAAAGAGCCTCAATTCAAAATGGAGCCATCCATCTGTGCGAGAGAAAACAGCGTCACAGATAAGTAATGTCTCCATTTCTGACACTGTGTGCTTATAATCATTCGATATCAGTTTGGATTTTGATTGGTTGATAGTAGGGCTTGGACGATATGCTTTTCTCCCAATTCGATTCTTCCACGATTTTTTGGATGTTAGCTCGATTCAATTTGCGATTTTACGATATTGTCGATTTTCTCGATATTCAGTCTGCATTTTTAACACCAGTAAAACAGTTGAATGATTATGAGTGTCTACTGACTATTCCAGGAACCATATTTCCCTCCCAAAAAATACACATCATGTGTCAGTCAGTTTTTAAGATTTATTCTTAAATTTGTAAAAAAAAAAAAAAAAAATTTTTGAACATAGAAATAGATTTTAAAAAATGTAAAACAAAAAATCACAATACTTATGTAAATCAATATTTTTCTCCCACCTTTAGTTGATTGTATCCTAAAGCCCCAAAGACTGAAAATAAATTTGCACCCACATTTCCAATCAAAGGGTGCGGCAAGGGTGGTCAATGTTCATGGAGAAGAAGTGAACCGAGTTAGTGCTGGTAAAGAAAACAGTTCTGCTAAACTGAAAAAGTATTTTTTTTGCGATCAGCTGATGTCATGCTTATTTCTGCTTTCTGCGCATGTCCTTGCTATGCTCACCATCAAAGCCACTATCACTCTTCCCGGCCTCGCTATATAGCCTACTGACAATCAATGGGGTGAACACAGTGTTAAGTAAGGTCAGCTAACACGGCCCCATCACCAGCTTTCTCTGCTGGAGTTCACTGTTACTCAGTTTATCATCTGTGTCTGTTATCCCTCCTAATCCTGCCGGTCCCTACACCTTTTTAAAATCTCATCTTGGATATAGAAAATATAATAGACCTCAAAATGATCATTTAGAAGTTTGTTTTGCACTGTAATAAATGCCTGATGCTAGATGTTTGTCATAGCAGAATGCCAAAATCAAAGGAAGTGCTGTCCTCCACATCTGGAAGTGACTCCGACAGTGAAGTGGAGTCAAAGGTTTGTGTTTGTTTCTGAACCCTCCGTGTTTAAATGTCTGCCTTTGGAATGAAGCACACTGATAACATGTTTAGAAGTATAGAAAACCTGTTTTCTACAAAAAGGTCTCCTATATTTCCTCTTGTCTGTTAAAAACAAAATTGATGGCAGAATTGGATCAAGCGTTTGTGTATTTTTCAGGCAAAGAAAAGGAAGAGTGCAGTACCAGAGAAACCAGTCAAGAAACCAAAGAGCGGAGAGAGCTCCAAGCCAAGCGGCTCATCAAAGAGCAGCGGAAATGGTGACGACAACATGTTCCAGGTGAGTTTTACAGGTAGAGTGAAGAAACACTTCTCTCCACTAACAAAGGCTTGATACCACATCTTAAACCTTCCTTTCTAATTGAGTGAAGCCAGACTACCTCTTGAGGTAGGTGCCCACATATTCTTCATTTGAAATCAAAGTCAGTGCAGTGGGGATCTGACTGAATTTGATCAAAAAATCCAAAAACACATTTGACTCATTGATAAAACACTAAAGCTCCCTCAGGTGGGTCTTGTCTACATGACAGATTCTTTTGTGGGTTTGAAGCAGACACTAACTTTATAAAAAAGTTTAAAGACTCTTAAAGTGTTTGTTACATTTTCTTTCAGCATTCCCAAATTAGCATGACATGAACTGACTTTAATGACAGAAAACATGTTTGAGAAACATATTCTGCTGGGAGTTAGTGAGGGAAGCAGATTTTTGTTACACTTCAGCAGAGTGTCTGTTGAGTGACTGTCAGAAAATGATACAAAACACACCAGGATGCGACCCAAGGTACAGTGGATATAAAAAGTCTACACACCCCTGTTCAACTGCCAGGTTTTTGTCACGTAAAAAAAATTCAATCAAGATAAATAATTTCACAACTTCTTCCACCTTTAATGTGACGTATAACCTGTACAACGCAATTGAAAAACAAACAGAAATCTTTCAGGGAGGTGAAGTAAAAATAAACAACTGAGATCATGTGGTTGCACAAGTGTGCACACCCTTTAATAACTGGGGATGTGGCTGTGTTCAGATTTAACCAATAACATTCAAACTCAGGTTAAATTGAAGTCAGCACACACATGTCACCAATTAAAGCGCCTCTAATCAACCCCAAATAAAGTTCAGCTGTTCTAATAGGCTTTTCCTGACATTTTTGTAGCCACATCTTCCAGCACAAGCCATGGTCCGCAGAGAGCTTCCAAAGCATCAGAGGGATCTCATTATTCAAAGATATCAGTCAGGTGAAGGCTACAAACGAATTTCCAAGAAACTAAATATACCATGGAACACAGTAAAGACCGTCATCATCAAGTGGAGAAAATATGGCACAACGGTGCCATTACCAAGAACAGGACGTCCGTCCAAAATTGATGATAAGACAAGAAGAAAACTGGTCAGGGAGGCTACCAAGAGGCCGACAGCAACACTGAAGGAGCTGCAGGAATTTCTGGCACGTACGGGCTGTGTAGTACATGTGACAACAATCTCCCGTCTTCTTCATATGTCTGGCCTATGAGGTAGGGTGGCAAGACGGAAGCCTTATCTTACAAAGAAAAACGTCAAAGCCCGGCTTAATTTTGCAAAAAGATGTGAAATCTCCCAAACGCATGTGGGAAAATGTCTTATGGTCTGATGAAACCAAAGTTAAACTTTTTGGGCATCATTGCAAAAGGTATATTTGGCGCAAAATCAACATTGCTCATCACCAAAAGAACACCATACCCACAGTGAAGCATGGTCGTGGCAGCATCATGCTTGGGGCTGTTTTTTCTTCAGCTTTAACTCGTGCCTTAGTCAGTGTTGGCACAAAACCTTGGGCCTTCTGCTAGAAAGCTGAAGATGAAGAGGAACTTCATCTTTGAGCACAACAATGACCCAAAGCACACATCTAAATCAACAGAAGAATGGCTTCACCAGAATAAGATGGAGACTTTGGAATGGCCCAGCCAGAGTCCAGACCTGAATCCCATTGAACATTTGTGGGAATGATCTGAAGAAGGCTGTGCATAGGAGATGCCCTCGCAATCTCAGATTTGGAGCGGTTTTGCAAAGAAGAGCGGGCAAATATTACCAGATCAAGATGTGCCACGCTGATAGACTCCTACCCAAAAAGACTGAGTTCTGTAATGAAAGCCAAAGGTTTAAGGGTGTGAATATTTATGCAACCAGGTTCATTTAACTTTTCTATTTTTTATTTTTCCCCTTAAAGGTCTGTTTGTTTTTCAATTGCATTGTACAGATTATAGGTCACATTAAAGTTGTGAAAATATTTATCTTGCTGTCATTTTCTTACATCACTAAAACTTGGCAGTTGAACAGAGGTGTGTAGACTTTTAATATCCACTGTATGTGTGACAAAATGGTTTGCAAACTTCTGATGAATGATGATCAATTACAATCCCAATCTTGGTTAGGATGTTGTAAACTGTTACAGAACACAATTTGTAGTTTTGAAAAGCACTGGAAAAAGTTGCATAATGCTACAAAGCCACATCTCTCAATTTATGGGGTTAACTTAAAACAGATTAGGAACTTGGCTGTGAACAAGAAGGTCATTCCAGAGAGGCTGGAGGGAAGATAAAAAGAGGTTCATCACTCTTTGAGAGACTGGCTCAGGGTACTGTTCCTCTGTGTAAAATTGGAAAGAAGAGATTTCCCTATCAGAATTTTCTATGATTAAAAGATTCAGATAATCTGGAGAAATCTCTGTTCAAGAGGGACAAGGCTCAAAACCAACACTGGATGGCCTCGATTTTAAGGCACCAGAGCAGAACTGTGTTAAAAAACAATTGTGACTCTGGAGCGGAAATCACTGCATGGGCCCAAACTCGGCCTACTTAAGATGGACTGAGTTGAAGTGAAAAACTTTCATATGGTCTGATGAATCCAAATTTGACGTTCTATTTGGAAATCATGGATGCTGCATCCTCCAGTGTAAGGAGGAGAGGGATCACCTAGCTTTTTGTAAGTAAGTAAATTTAATTTATGAAGCACTTTTCATAGATAAAATCACAAAGTGCTTTACAACAAGGAGAAAATACAGTAAAATACAGAGAAATGCACAGTTCATTTTAGCCAGCATCCCTGATGATATAAGAAATGCATCAGTACCCATGACAGCTTACGCATCAAGAAAAACTCCATTATTGCTGTTTTTATCAACATTTTTTATACCCTCCAAATTTTTGGGGAATATGTGCCGATAAGAGAGTTCTTGTGTGGAAAATTCGAGTAAAGTTTTTTTTCCCTCTTTCAGATTGGAAAGATGAGATATGTCAGCGTCAGAGACTTTAAAGGTAAAGTCCTGATTGACATAAGAGAGTACTGGATGAACTCGGACGGGGAGATGAAACCTGGAAAGAAAGGTAACAACAGTAAACCCTGTAATGCTATAAAAACTGTGTGCATCTGTGTATCTAAATTATCTGGATAGTAATTCCACTAACAGGAGAGCAGGATGTTATATAATCTTTGTGACTATGTTTTTGCAGGTATCTCCCTGAATCCTGAGCAGTGGAACCAGCTGAAGGACCAGATCTCAGAAATCGATGATGCCATCAAGAGAACATAATCATTCCTTTCTGATGTTTTTTTTTTCTTCTTTTGTTGGATTAGATTCAACTTGTTGGCTAACCAGTTTTGTAAAAAGCCTGGGATTGTTTTATAAGAACTTAAATTTGTAGCTGTGTGGATTTAGTGATGTCTGTTTGCGTTAGTGCTTGAGCTGTTGTAGTGAAGGTTTGGGTGGATGACCATTGGGTTGGGTGGGGTGGGGTGGGGAGGTGGCATCAACACAGAGCTGTTTTGCATTGAATAATAAAACTGAGGCACTGACTTAATCTTTGTGTTCATTTAAATTCATGTTCACAGTTCCACTTTGATAGATATTTTCCTGATGTTACTTTGATATTTTGTGATTTGTAGCTCTTAAACCATCACTCTTTGTGAAACACGTTTGTCATGTTGTACCTGCAGTTAAATAAAAACCTGATTATATAGCACTTAACTTACAGTAGTAATCACGGTTCCTATTTAGCTTTGTCAGTAAAGGATAATTTGAAATGACAAACTGGGATTTTTTTCCTCCTAAAATAAAACCAAGATAGTTCTAATCCACCTCCAAACAGCTGTGGATATGAAAATATATATTTTTTGCAACTTTATATTAAAGCTAAATCTGTCTGATTATTACTGTAGTTTAGGGAAATGTCTCAATTGTTTATCATGCTTTTTCTGTCCATTTAAATAAAACTACTTTAAAGTGTCTCCATGTCGGCTGGTTTACCTCTAACTCTACAAAGCTTATGTCACATTTTGATTCTAAATCCCAGTTTGAGCTCTGGTGATCCAGATTGGATTATCTTCATAAATCTGGTTCAAACTGGATCAGGCGAATCAAAACGTATCTTCTTGGACAGATGTCCCCTGCCTAGCTAAAGGGTAGTATGAAATGTAAGCACAGCAGTTGTTGAAAATAAAGTTGTAAGAGGTAAAGCGATTTATCTCTAGCAATAAAGACCAAAGTAGTATATTTTGTGCATTCACATCTCAGAAGTAATGTATTGGCAACTTTATCCTTTAAGACTGATGAGTTTAATATTGAAAGATCCGTTTTTTCCTGTCTCCGGTGGCTCTATTACCTCATTCTTAAAAACAGTGTGCTCAAACTTGTTACAGAAATGACCTTTTTCAGACCATTGATCCCTTCTAAGACAAATTTCACAACCAGCAGATGCATTTTCAAGCACATTTTCGTAACTTTGAAGGATTGTAAAACCACATTGATACATCCAATTGGGAGTGGAGGAAAATTGATGCAGCATGCAAGTCTCATAAGATCTTGAGTGGTGGTATTGTACCAAATTCTAATATTCTTATCACCTTATTTACTGCAGATATAAAATTACGTTTTTGGTGGTGTAGAAGTACAATCATTTACTTGTTTAGTCCACTTGATGGTGCTGTTGAGTTGTTTTCAATTGATACCATAAATGGACTTGAAGCGCTTTCTCCTACTGATCCTGTTTCCTCTTGTCTAGATCTTTGCTTGTGTTGTTCTTGGTCTCATATGTTTTTATTGGTCACTTTAGATAACAGCATCTGCTAAATGACATTGTAACATTATAGTACATAACTGTTGTGGCATTTGCTCTGAACTTGAGCATGCATTTTTTGAAGTTGCATTGTTTCAGCATTTGCAGCACATTTTCCAGAAAAAAATCCAAATTGTTTGCTCTGTGTAGAGAGATGATTGGCAGCTGCTGTTCTCTGGACCACAGCAATACACGAAAACTATACTGATGCAAACCTTTCCTGTAAAAGTACAGCCATCTGTAATTGTTTGCATCCAGACTGTGAAACAAACACTTCAGTCTGTCAGGTATACGCAGGCTTTGTGACTAGATTTATAACAGTGTTGGTCTGTCTGTGCTTCTGTGCAGAAACTAAGACAACTAAGGTAAGATGAACCAATTGTGCTTATTGGATATGCAAGTTTTCTTTGTAGATATAATTTGCAGTTCATAACAGTCAAACAATTGTGTAATTCAGTTTATTACAAAGTCTTTAAAACCCCCCAAATATATTGTAAATCAAGTTCCGATCATTTTCTAAATTTAGATGTTTTTGTTTCCTTCGCCTTGAAGCCACAAACTCATTTTCTTTTTGTTTAGTTTCTTTTTTTCATGTGTCATGGCCTTTTACATAAACAGACTGTCTTTGTGTCTGTGCGTTTGATGGCAGCTTCCCAGCCTGCTTCAACATACAGCTCTCAAACTAGGCAAAATAAACCAAACCAACAGGTGAAAACAGCCTTTATTTGTTTTTGCTGGACACTGGGTTTGGTTTGACGTCACTTGAACAGATGCTCCAAGGGCAGCTTCCTCTGCACTTTGGCCATTATCCAAATCATCCCTTTCATCCCACTTGTGACACTTCTTTTATGTTGTATTAGTTTTAATTGTGTAATTATTTATAAGCTACTTAACCAAAAAAAAACCAATATACTTGCAACAACCCCCTGAGAAACCCTTAATTTGATGCCATGTAGATAAAGCTAACCTGTGATTTTATTTAAACATATCAACCCAATCCTGCAAACACCTTCAATGAAAGCCCACCAACAATAAAAACAAGTGAGAACATAACACCAATACTGTGTTCACAAAAGAGCAAAGTCACATTTTATGTGGGAAATGTAAACAATAGGCTTTTTCTTACTCCACCAGTGTTAGACATTTGAATTCAGAAAACCAGCAATCTGATCGTTGGTAGTTTTGTTTGCTTTTAAATATCGTGAAAAAGCATAAAAATTCAATTTCAGTCTGTTTCATAAAAATCAAAAAGCTTCTTATAGGAGCTTTAATGTCAAACAGAACCACCTTGACTCCAACCCCACTTTTTTGACTCCAAAATTTCTGTAGATATAAATGGAGTGCTTCCTCTCTATCCCATTAACTATTTTTAAGAAGGAGGGGAAAAGAGAGAAGAAGTTAAAATATTGTCATAATAGCTGCTGATACATTGTGCTAGTATCTTATTCAGGAGCCAAGAGGTACAGAATGGATTCGTCAGGTAAAGCAGAATTGAAATCACAAACACCTCTTACAGTTATCTTGTTGATTAGTGTCAGAGCTCCCTCAGTTGGGTCTAGTCCACGCAGAACAGATTCTTGTGTGGGTTCGAAGCAACACTCACTGTTATAAAAAAGTGCAATGACTGGTATTTGTGTTACTCAACTTTGATAAATCAGCTTGATAAGAACCGGCATGGGGTCCTTGAGCTCCCTCATCCTGAAGGTTCATCTGGATCACTGCTGTGGACCATGGATCAGTCTCTTCATTATTATCACTGTTTCAAAGCTTATGTTGATTTGAGAACTCTTTGAGTCTTTCTGCTTCAGCTGTTTTAATTACCTCAACTTCACAATTACAAATGCTATTACTGCTGTTCCAGAAACATTTCATCAAATCAATAGATGTTTCATGACACACAAAGCATTTAAGTTTTTACTGTACACAGTTTTTTTCTTTTAATTGTACCAACATTGCTTGTGTGTGTTTTGTGAGTTTTTGCATTTCTTGTTTTTTGGCACTCTTATATTTTGGCGGGCTATAAACTCCCTGTGCAGTTGGCTTTCAGAGTTACTGCAGTTTGAGTTTATTTTGTCTATTTTTGGACGTGTCTGAGGTTTTATCTCTCAGCTGCAATAATCTAAACCCTGCTGTATTTAATGAGACAGTGTCCCTACAGAAAAACGTAACTGCGTGTTCAACGTATCGCTGTGTCTGATTGAGTAAACATCGTTCTTCATTACAGAGGGTGAACAGCCTTGAGTTAAAATCAGACAGAGCTGATTCTGGTCCCTGATTGGCTTAGAGTTCAGTGCCCTCATCTATGAAGGGTTCAGTCAAGGTTTTCTGGCTCTTGATTGTGCAGACTGTAATGCTTCCGGTTCCACTTAATTACAGTCTATTATTAGCTCTAACTTTAAATACTATCCATCTCTGTCAGCTGTTGTTCTGTGCTGTTGTGCAGCAGCTCATCCTGTGTCGTGTATTTGCTCCTTTGCTACAGTCCCGACCATAAACCTTTCCAAAAACGAAGCATTTCCCTGAACCTTCAGGGAGTTCTGACTTTGGGTAAAGTTCACGTCGTCTTGGAGCATGCTGAGAAGAAAAGCCTGACGGGAACTGTTTGAACAGAGTTGACTGTTTACTAGAGAGCTGTCAGTGCAGACAGGGGAGAGCAGGGGCTGTTGACATTTCCCAGGAACCTGCTGCTGTGTGGACACATGTTTCCAACAAAGAGTGACACCTAACAAAGCCGGGCTGAAAAACATGCCGCCCAGACATTACATATATTTCTGCTACTGTTGACTCAAGCATGCCTGCACTGTTCCCTCTCTGCTCTGTGGGCACAGACGACCGCAGAGCTCTCAGGAGCAGTATGTCTGCAAACAGAAATGACCACACTCTTTGTTGTGGACTCATTGTGGTTCTGTAACATACTATGTAATCTTGAGACTTGTCACTGTGGTGAGTAGTTTATGCATTCAAAACTAGATATTGTAATTTGAAAATATCTGCTCCAAGAGCCAGAGTGAAACCTCAGTATGAGATTCTTCATGTACTTTGAAATATCTCTCCAAAAACATTGGAGTGCACAAAAAGTATTGATGACAATAAATAAAAACAAAGATTTCCAATTGTAGTTCTGATAAAAAGATAGGACCTGACCTTTTTCACTGTTGTTTTTTGGGTGGCACTTTTTGAGCTTATTGAATGAAAAGCCGAGGAGAAATACAAAAGACATACGGTAAAAGGCTGAGTCCAGGATGGAGCTATCCTTGCAACCAGAACTGCTGCAACAGAGACTATCACCTGTATAAAATTTTGATTAAAATAGAATATTCTTGTTTGCTACTCACCGAAGGTCATATTTATGTAAAAACAAAAGATCAGAAGTTACACTCCATGGAGGACAAGTCAGGACTGCAAGCAGGCCAGGTTAAAACCCGGACTCTTTTACTCTGGGGCAGTGCTGTTATAATACCGGCGTTGTTCGCGTTGTTTTGCTAAAATATGCAATGACTTCCTTAAAAAAGAGACAAAATAACCTGTATCTGTTGTCCAGTATCATTGATGCCCAGATGTGTGAGGTACCCATACCAAGCGGTTCCTCGCATCCTTGGAGAGGAGGACGCACTTTCCATGATTTCCAAAAAGAATGCCAAATTTTGATTTTCACTTTTCCTTAGTCTATCTGTAATGGTCTCTGGCATTTCCAAGCCCTGCAACGGGCTTTGAAAGTGATTTTGAGCCTATGCAGTGCTCACCACAACAGAGTCAAGTCTACTTTTAATGCAGTGCTGTATGAGAGCCTAAAGATTATGGCCAACCAGTATTGCTTTTGGGCCTTGGCCTTCTTGTAAAAAGATTTTTCAGCTGATATCATGTACAATTTTTCACTGTAAATGAAATATGACACAGTATGAAACTGAAATTCTTAGTAATTTGGTACAAAACTAGGCTACACCCGGTATATTGTATTGTGATTTTAAAGCTACAGACGAGCTATGTAATCCTCTAAGCAGTGGCTTATTAGCACATTAAATGGATATTCGTTTCTTCATTTCTTCATGGAAATGCAATCAGACCGAGACGCTAAGGCAGAAGAACTACTGCGTCTGCAGTGCAAAATGATTAATATGGTGATTATTACTTCAAGGAAATGATTAAGTAATGGTCATAAATGTTCTTCCTTGAGCTGCGTCACCCCGCAGCAGTCTGTAATGGACTAGCCTGAGGTCTCGCTACAAACAAGCGGCTGCTGGAAGAGAGGAGGTGAGTTTTGTTTAGTCTCTAAACAAATCAGGCAAAGCTAAAAAGATATTTGGTTTCTAGTACTATGGCTGCGACCCTATATGTACTGTTGATGAAGTTAGGTGCTGTTCTGAGCATTATTTGTAGCTATAGAGTGGCGTTTTGGTTGAGGTTTGTTTATGGCTTCTCAGACCACTGTGTATTGCTATCGTGCGGTCATTACTAAAGTTGGTATAAATAGAGAAGCAAGCGGTCGGCAACATTCATCTCTCGAGGGGGTTGTCTAACTCGGTGTTATGGTGTGTTTGACCCTAACTTAATTTTATACCGGAATATCCCTTTAAGATAACTTAATTCTCCTTTATCTAACTTTGTTGCCAGCACATAAATAAAGGGGATAAGATTAAAGACAAAATTCACCTAAAAACAGTAAGTGATAAAGAAAAGTAACAAATTAATGAAAAAGCACCTGCACATTTTCTATGATCAGTGGTGGGGAAATTGTAATCGTTCAATCAACATTTTCTTATGCAGAAAGGCTCTTAAAATGTGAACATCACACACACACAGCTGGATGATCAAGGATCACGTTTTAAAGCCTGAGTCTTTTACCAAGAGACAGAGGATTAAACTGCAGATAGAAACATGTAAATACAGGAAATTACTCAGACTGTTCCAGGAGTTTGTTTATTCACAAACAGCTCTTTGCTTATTTATTCATCAGTAAGTTTGTTTTTGACACTTTTTCTACCCTTAGATAACGCTTAACTCATAATGTGCAGTTCTCTGAAACTGTTATGGGCTTTTCCGCGGCATGTTAAAGATCTGTGGTCGTATCTGAAAAGCTTCCTCAATTAAAGAGTAGTTCCTATACAATTCTATGAAAATTCTCAGAATTTCCTAGACACTTAAAACATGATTTATTTAGTGTGTGACAAACTGTAAAAAACAACAAGCTACAAAATGAAGACAGCAAATTAAAATGAAGTTACATCATGCAACTTCCAGATTTTATACATGTGGGCAGCCTGGTGTTGGTGGAGATGGAGCCAAGGGAAGGGTATGACTCATAATGGTTTCTTGTCTTTGTTTCAGTAGTTTTTACACGTGATGTAGATTCATTAGCCTCACATTTCCATAGCAGTCATTTGGAAGTATTACCCATGCTTTACTTGCACTGCAGAAGTGTGTGCATCACTTTGATGCAGCTTTTCTGCAACTGGTTTTGTGAAGTGCAATGGCCATCTTAGTTATAGTTCAACTTAAAGAAACAAAACATACGGAATAACACAAAAAGGACATCTAAGAGTAAGTCACATTTTTATGTTTACAGATGTGATCAATAGGGTTGGCAAAACAAGGATTCAGTTCATCACAAAGCATGATGAGGACTGACAAAGGACAGACCATCTCTTAGCAACAAATTTTTAGAGATATCAGGTTTCTCAAAAAAATTTCTATCTCTTGGTTAACACTTGTTGTCAACAATGGGGAGTTAGCTAACTAGCCAACAAGGGCTTCAAGTAAGCTTTGTTAGTTACAGCCTGGTTTCGCAGACAGTGCTTAAAGGCATGGTTGATGATCTCAGAAGCACTTGAACTAAAAACTGAGCCATTGAGGCAGATTTGAAAAAGCGTCCCATCCCCCACACACAAACCTTTCCCCTCTGTGCTCCACGATAACTCTCCCCTAAACCTGTATCACCCTCCCCACGACACGCCCCCTCTGGCAGAGCAAGAAGCCGGCCGGCAGAAGATCCTACGCTAGCTTCAAATAGGATTCACCATGTCGGATTGCTAGTGACTAGCGACAGTAAACGCCAGCTCTGCTAGCGAGAACCGTCTGCAGCTGCCTGGACAGCTACCGTGTTGCAGAGACTAATAAGAGTTATTTATGTAACATGTGCCACGATAAAAGGCAAAAATTACCTGTTCAACCAAAACTCTGCTGTCTCAGCTTCTGTTTTCAGGCCCAAATCCTGGCAGAGCTTTCCCCACCACTCAAAGGATGACCCGATGTTTATTCGAGTTATATTCCTCGCTTGGTCACATTTCCTCTTCGTCTCTGCCCTTTCTTCTGTTGGCTTGCATTTTCTTAGCACTTTTGGTGATGTGGGCAAGCAGAAGGGTTTTTTATTTTTGTCTGTCTCCATCACAGCTCCTGTAGCTAAGCTGCTATGCTACTTTTAGCCGCTCAGAGCTCGAGGAGGGCCGGGAGAGTGGGAGGGGACGAGTCGGAACTACGGGAGAGGGGTGTGTTGAATACAACAAGGTGATTGGATGGAGAGGCAGAGCAGGAGGTTGACCAATAGGAGCTGTCCAGGATGGATGGCTCCCATTGGTCAATGTTTTTGCAGCCCTGCACCTGCAAGGGTGAACAGATTTTTTCCATTCACTATAGGACTATGATCACCATATAAACACGGTTCATAATAATTACCAATCTCTCCAATCGTTAACCATGCCTTTAAGCCTTGTCCCAGACTAAAATGCTGTTTGAGCTGGCTCCACTTGAAGTCACTTGCACAGACTTATTTTAAAATGGTCATAAATTGAGTCTGTTCTGGATTAAACAAAGCCAGTTGCAAGAGAGGGGGGATTCGGACTACTCTAGGACTTAATTGAACATGCAAAAAAACTCATAATATAACACGTTGTAACAAGTTGCTACATCTTCAGCAAAAACTTCATACCTTTTAGATTCAGCATCTTATTACATTTTGGGCTTTATTAAAAATTTCTTTTCACATTTTGGGTTGTTGTTACATTTCAGATGGTTGTTACATATAACAGGGACTTTATCAATTTAAATGACAATATCACTTTAGAAGTCCTTCTACTTGGCGTAAACAGGTATAAACCAGTCTGAAAGAACATGCAGTTCTCCATGGAGCGATGAGTTCCTGCTGAACTGAGCATACAGAGTGAATAACATGTGTACAGTGTGGCGTGCTGCCAGTTCCTGAATAAAACACATGTGACCCAACACTTTCTGAAGTCAAATATTAAAGCCACACTTCTCCTTCTTCTTTATGAATGACGTTATTCAAAGTGGGTCATTTATGTCCAAACCAAGCTCACAGCAGTTCACGACACAGTCACAATATCGTAACATAAAGAGAAGATGTGAGCTCCTCCACTTTCATTTGTGTGCGTCAGCGGGGATTAAAAACTCATGTTTTTCAGTAAGAAGAATTTTCTGTGCCTCTGACACAAAATCCTGAAGGAAGGCGGCGAACAGAGCCAGACAGTCTGCAGGGATGATTGACAGGTCAAATAAACACAGACCTGCACTACAAATACAGGAGTGAGAGTCATGTGCCAGACTCAAAGTTAAAGCTTGGTTGTTTTAAATGAAAAAAAAACAAAAAACTAAACAGACGTGACATAACCTTATTTCCTTCCTTTGTAGTTTCCAAACATATTTTCAAAACATTTCAAAGAAACAGAGAAAATTGTATGGATTCACAGCTTCTACCAATACTAAAAACTGTAAGTAAGGTTTAAAAAAAGAAACACACCCTGCCTTAAATTTCATTTAATGCGTTTTTCAGGGAAAATCGTGAGTATTTCCCAAAGAGGATGCCCAACCCTTTTCTGCACCAGGAAGTAAATACCTGCAGCAGTACTGATTTGTCACCTAGAGAAAACACCTAACACATAGTGAAGTGAAAAATTAAAAATTGATTTAAAGGAGACCCCCGACTGTTTTACAGCTGAAATCCCATAATAGGCAAAAAAGTGGAAAACATTTCACTTCCAAACTCCAAAAACTGGTTTTCTGGGTTCCAAAAGATCAGCTGAAGCAACACAGCTCAGCAGCAGGGAAGTGGCTGTCTAACATGGGTCTGGTCCTCCCCAAGGTTTCTGCCTGTTAAAAGGAAGTTTTTCCTTTTCACTGTCACTCATGTTAGATGAGATCAAATCTGTCCAATTTTAGGGTTGGGTCTTGGTAATTCATCAAACAATGACTGTGGTCTAGACCTGCTCTTTGTTTTTTGGAAAGCGTCTTGGATAACGACTGTTGTGATTTGGCATTATAGATAAAATGTGATTTTGATTTGATTTGATTGGTAAATACAGTATATCTCTGTCCTAACTTTTAAAAATACTTCACTGGCATACAATGTAAAATGAGTGTATATTTTTGAACAGTAAAATTTTGCAGTCTCAATATCTGGAATGTTTTCTTGACACTTTTTCCAGTTGAATATTGACTACAAATGATTTGAAAACCATTATATCTGTTTTAATAAATATTTTACAGAGTATCCCAACTTTTTAGATGTGAATGTGATCAGTTCAAAGAGCTTAATGAAGTATAAATGAAGATAACAGCATTTAAAAAAGGTAAATGCAATAGGAAGAAATAGAGACAAATAGAGACTTCACTCTTTCCAGTTACCAAGGACCACAACTTTCTCTCCTTTCTTAAGTGATGCTAAACTTTTCATTTTATTTTTACCTGCTTTCTAGTCAGCCTTATTATCACACATATTATCTGTGTGTTTCCTTTGAGACCAGTTTGAGTCTAGGTCTCCTGGATCAACAAATCTATACGGACACACCCTCAACGTAACAAAATGTCAAACCAGCAGGGAACGCAGGTTGGGGTGCTGGTTCCAGGATCCCAGACAATTAGGACTTTTAACACCTTGCATAACTTCAGAATACAGGAAGTCTCAAGTCAGGAGTCTGAAACTCTGCAGGTCATGTGACAGTGAAGCATGCTGTGAAGATTTATCCTTGGCCCACCTGCAGCTTGGGATGCTGAGGCTCAGAGCTACGACCAGCTGTGACAGACAAACCATGAAGGGCTGTTAGACTGAGGAATGTCACTTTGTGAAAGAGAAAGGCATGTTGAGCACCACAGAGGTTAAATGATAAACTTTTGGGTTTGTGTGGAGATCTGAGGGTCACTTTTAATTGCTTTAAAGGAGTAGATCTGTGAGCAGGAATAATAGGCACCAAACATAGGATACTTGTGGAGGGCAAGATCCAAAAAGACTTAAACATACCATATAAACAACTCAAAACATCACATTGTTTGAACTACTACCTTATCAGAAGCATACTGTAATTGATATTAAAATTAACTTATGGCTAATGTTATAACACAAATCCAACGATAAATGTTCAGTATGTGGCCTCACATCCTTAATACCACCTCTACGTGAATTGGTGCACCAGCTTGGCCACCAAAGTATAAAAAAATCTGGATACACCCCTGCTAAGTTTATGTTACGTTACTCTGCTCAGCAGTTGATGGATTTATACTGAATGAGAGTTCAACAAAACGACTTTGTAGTAGATGGGTCTGGGTGCTAAACTGATCTGCTTGCAGTCCTGTTTTGCAAGCAGGATTGCAGCAACATGATGTTAGCATCACATTTAAAATGAGCAAATATTTTTCTGAAAACAATATAATTTTCAATTCTAACTGTTGTCTCTGCACTTTTTGGTACTTTTTACATTTTGAATTAGATATTGAGTTTAAATAAGTGCTTCCAAACAATTAAATTTTTTCATCAGATTATACACATTAATTTCAATTAATCATGATTAAATATCATTAATTTTTAGCTAAGAAAGGTAAAGTGCTGGCAGAATCCCCGGCTAACGTACTGAATGTTTCGCGTTAATGTGGTATTTTAAGCTCCTTTAAACTCCTTCTTGCAGAGTGTGAATAATACTTAATGTTGGTCAACTGTTCTGTCATGTTTTTGTTGGATACTTAGATTACCCAATGAGAGGGCTAACATGCTGTTTAGTGTTTTTCATATTGAGTTGTTTCAAGCCTGTCACTACCGGTTCAACTGCCCATTTGTGCACGCATGACGGTAACACTACTTGAACAAACTGCGCGAAACGCATTGCCAGAGACATTTCAGGGATTTTAAGTCATTCTGTGCTGCAGATGTATTGATTGTATCAAAAATTGTAATCAGATTAATCATGATGATGAATTTATCCAAGTTAACGCGTTAATTTTGACAGTTCTAGTTTAAACCATTTGAAAAACTATCAAATTCTGTTTTTATTAACATTCTACTCAGCGTACCATCTTTTGGGATTGGCAATATTGTTGGAAGCAACTTTTATTAGCTGATTTAATTGTTGAATAGAGTGACAAATAACATTTTTTTCAACAGTCCACTACAGTATAAAAAAACTTCATTTAATGCTTTGACTACTCTAGATTTTAGATGAATTTACATGTACAGTTTATATTGTAACTCTGATTTTTTTAATTAATCTGTTCAGACTGAAAAACCTGTACCTGAGCGAGTGTTATGCAACTGGAGTTAACAGTCTGAGTACCAGAGAAAGTTTTCCTTAAAATCTTAAATCAAGTTTTTAAGAGTTTAAACATTGCAGATGTTCAGGTTGAAGATAAATAACAGGAAACAGTTTGACCCCTGCAGACATGTTGACTCTTTGCATGTTGTTGGAATGCATGTCTAAAGGCGGCACTTTAACCTGTTAATGAGAAACCATGTAGATTTATAGAAAGTCTTACTGCAGCTCCAATCAGCCTCACAAAAGGCGGCTCAAACTTTAGCTTTGCGAGCTCGGATAATTGACATTCCTGTTGTCAAAGAAACACGTCGAGAGGAAACCGCTAAGCTAGGAAGCATAATACTCAGTTTCTGTGGTAACCAGCGGTGTGGAGGCAGCTGAAGGCAATTCATCGACAATGGGCATGTGACACCAGACTGTGATGAGTGGGTTATTTTTACTCTGAGTGTGTGATGTGTGTGTTTATGCACCTGCTGCAGAGAACACTAAACTCCAAAAGAAAGAGAAGGAAAGGTTGAGTGTGGACTCTTCAGGTCTAACAAATATCGGTTTCACAGTATTTTATGAGCTGACAGAATTTGCATTTGTGTGTTTGAAAGAAAAAGAGAGGCAAATATATCCAATTAAGAGGATAATGCTCATTAAAATTTGGTAAAATATGGAAAATTAAACTCAAGTCCACTGAACCACTGAACAGGATTCATTATTATACAGCACCAATCACATTTTGTTGGTGCAGTGCACTTAGCTGTGTATACATTTGCATATTTGTGCACATAAAATCAGATTTCTTTCCAAAGAATTTGATAGAAATAATTAATTCACCATTAAATGTGTGCAAAAAAACTGAAATTTGCCTTTGACTTGTGTAATATTAGGTATTGTTTTCTGTGACCATGCTGATTTCACATATGCAAAAATAACAGCTGAAGACTTTCTGAAATTTTGGGGGCTGAGCTGTATGTGTGAATGCAAACAGATGAAATTTTCTCCTCAATTTTACAGAGAAATTATAAGGAAGACGTCAAGACGAGTCAAAGAGAGAGCACAGCAGGAAATTCACCAGCAGGAAACTTGTGCATCATAAGCAAAAAGGCAGTGGTTGATGACTTTAATATCACATAAACCTTGAGGAGTGACACGTAACAGGATGAATCCAACCATCCAACCAACCATCTCTGTCCTCCATCATGATCTAAACATTACAGTGTGGCTTCAGCAGACCAGACTTGATGTAATGTCATCATCTCCAGCTTCATGGACCATTTGTATGGAGACTGAGACACCCCTATGGAAGAGAAGCAGTCTAAAACCATAGACATATATATACGTAGATGCCTCATTACTTGCTGGAGTGTAATCCAGCGTCGCTGCCATATTGAATGGGTCTTCAGTCTCTTGGCTTGCACTAGAGTCAAATGGAATCAATGGAGAATGAGCAACTATGCCAGTATTTTGTGCACCCTACAGTTGTAAAAAAACAACGTACTGTAGGACTACATTTAAAAAGTCTGATTAAAAAATATTTTTTTTCTTATTTTAATGTGTGAAAGCATCCTGTATCATTGCTACGTCTCTGCTGTTTGTAACAAATTGAACTGTGTGAACATCGTGTTATGAGGTATGATTAATAACTCATATGATTTATATAGTCGGGCATATCTGCTTACCTGGTATCACTTCTATCTCCTGCCCTCTGACTTCACTGATTCATCAGCTGTATTTCTCCTCCAGTGTCTCCTCTGGTTTCTAATAACTGCAGTTAGATCAACTACAGCTCAACGTTTATCGGCTTCATCTCCAACATCATAAGCTCAGAATCAGTCACTATGTTTCCTGTGCACAAACAAGCAAAGATTGCATCAGAGTCAGAAACTGGTGATAAGACTTGCATTTAGGCAAAATATTACAGAGCAGTTCAGACACTACGAGTTTGTAGAGCACAGTGAGATGTGAAGGTAATTATGGTCACATATAAGCGGTCTGAATTTGTTGGCGTACGTACTGAATAAATGTACATAAACTATCGATTTTGTCGATTAAAACTCTGTTTCTACATCATAATTAAATCTTAAGAGTAATCAGGGCTGTGACTGTGTGCTTTTTTATGGACAAACGGTCCTGTTTGTGTTTTTATAACAGTCATAAAGTTGTGTCTGCTAAAGCTCCATGGAAACGCTTGTATGAACTCTGTGCTCAGACGGTTGCGTGCGTCCTGAAGGTCAACTGTACAAACATTTCACGACCACAAAAAAACACTTCAGTAAACTTCTACAAATTTTAATCAAAGATAAATAATTCAAGAAACACTGAAGCATGGAAAAATAATATTTATCGTATGAGTTTATGTATTTCAAAATGTTTCAATTTTGTTTTTAATGTTAATTTCAAATTTGTGAAAAAAAATTGCTTCAAGTTTTTTCCCCCATTTGTTTTAGAAATTTTTGTATTTGGTAAAACATTTTTTAATAATATTTCTCAGTTTCATGGTCTGTTTTTAAATTTCTCCTTTGCAATAATTTTGTATTTTGTCAAAACTTTTTTTTCATTTTTTTGATTTAAAAAAAAATTCTTTCTCATATTTACTGTTATGTGGTTTTTTTCTGTATGTTTTTTCTTTTTTTTAAGTTCATAAAATTTTGAAATTCTGCTGTCGGGTAAAAACCACCTATTCCCTTCCACTCATTCTTGTCTCAGACGTAATATACTGGAGCTAAAATTGTGCTCAGAGAAATGGAGATTACAATCGCGAAACAAGCCTTTGCGTTAGCGGATTGCAATGCTTGTAAGAAAGCTAATCATGACATTAGCTTTCATCGTGTCCCTGAAGACAATAGTGTCCGAGAGCTGAACTGAACTATGTTACCTGTTTCTTCTACTACACCTGCGATGTTAGGCTGCAAGCTAGCCTAAAGAGGAGTGTGCAGAGCAGCGCTGTCTCCGCCCACGACTCAGAGGCGAATTGCTAATGAGCTACTGGAGCTCTGCAGAAGAAAAGCCCTTGAAAATGACACAGGTAACATGTTTTTGGCTAAAAACTAAATCACAATTTAAAGACCACTGATAACACTTTTAAGATCACGAAAGTGATTGTCTTTCCATCTTCCATTTCTGCCTCTTCCATTTCTGAAAAGCCTGTTTTATACCCACTTATGTTGCTACCTTGTTCTGAATTAACGTCATTAGTTAGCAGTTCCTCTAGGTATCTTTTAAGTATTACTCAACTTTTTCTAAGTTTTGTTGTTCCTGTCACAACTTCATGGAAACGCATTGTTGGCATCCAATTTGAGATGAGAACATGTCTTTCACTATAAATATTTGATGTTATTTTTATTTTCAATTATAGAGAGGATGGAATAATTTGCAAACCATCAAATTTTGTTTTTATCAACATTAAAACATCTTAGCTTTTCAGAAACTGGAATTGTAAAATCTGTCTGCAGATGATTTCAATTTGCAGAAGTGCATCCCTGTTCAAAATGCCGCAGGTGTGAAAGTAACATGTAAATGCTTATTTTTAAATAAGACGACGGAAATGTTTTTTTTTTTTTTTATGTTTTGATGAAAAGCAGGATGCAAAACAAAATTAGAAGTCAATGCTTAGAGAGTCTCTGCAGCACTGGGTGAACTCTCAGCTCTGAGCGCTGTTTGTCAGTCACACTTTATTTACTGGCTGCTTTCGTCATGTAATCACTGATAAGAGCTCACAGCTCTGCTTGTTTTCCCTTTCCTCACTCCTCCCACGAGATGTTAAGTGCAGGGAAATGAGTGCTCGGGCCTGCAGTGTTGATGTTCAGATCTGGAGAACATCATGGAGCATTTTATCCCTGATGCACCCTGAGATTAACACAGAAAACATTTCACATCATCTGACTTGATTTATGGCAAACATAGCTACTTCTGAGGTCAAGCTGCCACCTGACACTCTTTTTATACACATGTTTGAACAATAATCATCACATTTTAAACCAAATCATCTAAATTATTATGCAACCTGTGAAAACAAATGCTGCTGATTTTGCTGATCAGTGCACAGGAAGTCCAGTGTAAAAAGCCAAAACAAATCAATCGTTTTTTTTGAGCAAGAATTTAGTGAATAAGATTCATTTTTAATCAAAGAAAAACAGAGAAAAAAATCATTATTTTGCAAAGTTTCAAGTCGTTCATGACCTGGTGAGATCAGCTCCACCTATACCTGCTCTCTTACCTTCTGAAAAGATCACAAATTATCATTGAATCATGAAAATAACTGTCAGATGAGACTATGCAAATGAGTCGATTCACTATCCTCTGCACAACAGAGCAGTTGCAGCATGATTTGTGCGTTATGTGACAAGGTTTTAGATTCCAGCTGCCCAGGACCAAGCTGATTGTGAGCAGAATTCATCTTCAGAGAGGAGTGTGGCCAAACACTGCTCAGCAGGGCTTAAATGGTAGGGGTTGATTACACTGATAAGATTTCTCATTCAAAAACTCTCCTGCACGCCAGATACAAAGTGGAAAGTATTTGTGGTATGTTGTTTTATTCCCAGTGTTTCATAAAACAGTTTGTAGGGTATCAGTTGAAGCTATGCACAGATTTTCTCCAGCATGTTCTCCCCCCTGTAGTCAAATAACAGTTTTTTATGCACTCCTTTGGTTTCTTTCTCGCTGAAGACTGACGTAAAATGGTATGCTTGTTTTTTTTAAGGCATTAAAACTATGTGGTTATGTTTATAAAACACATAGTGATAAGGGTTAAAATAATAACTCAGTTTAAGTCAAACAGGTATCTGCCCCCCCATGGAAAACTATGATATTCTGCATGACTTGTCTTCCTTCATGCTGGCATATGGAGCAAATTCTTCAAGAGTCTCATATTCTGCTACTTATTATTGTGCAAAAATGTGCATGTTTCTGATTGTGCACAAAACTATGCAGTTTAATGTGTGATATGCATGATGGAGCATGCAAAATATACTTCTTTGACACCTCAGCATATCTACCCCCTAACAGCACTTACAGCCATTAAAAACTACCTTATCAATCCTACATTTCATCCATCATCATCTACCATGCACTGCACGTTTCTAGCAATTTGATATTATCCAGCAAGTACAGTACTTTTCTAACTTAATGATGTTTACAACTTGCAAAATATACATTTTACATGCAATGATAAATAGCATACATACATGCATAAAATTACTTTACAGGTCTAGTATGAACGTTAAAGATACTTCTGCAGCAGATTGTTGCACTTCTGGAGGAAGCATCCAAAATCCTATAAAACTCAGTCTCTCAGAGAAAAAGCTGCATATTAAGCCTCAATCCTGAGCAGTTCAACCTCTGCACAGAAGAGAGCAAAACAAACAAACTGAGGTACAGTATTTGGAGACATTTTTTATTGAGCTCTTATTAATCCCTGAATCCCTCAAACACAGTTGAGAGAAACCCATAACTCAAAATGTGTGGTAAATTCATCAGATTTCCTCCATCTTTACCTTAGACTCACCTGAGCTGAAAAGGACTCTCAGTCAGCCAGCTCAAGTGTACTGGTTTCTATGGCAACCGGGTACTCTTTGACTCATTTGATATCAACACAAGTCTCAAGTGAGCCAGAGCTGAGATTTAGTTATTAATTCAATGTAATATTGTTTAAGAGATTACGTGTGTATGTATATGTATATGCATGTGTGAGTGCATGTGCACCTGAGTGTTTTCAATGGTCTGCTATGTTGATTATGTTTTGTGGGGCTGTGTGGTGTTTTAATTACAACCTGCAAAGAGACTGCAGATTTAAATTAGCTTAAAAAAGCTCACTTTGGAACAATGCATCAAATTTCCTTTTAAAGTTAACAATAATCATTAGGGTGGCTATAAGCTTTATCTGTTTATAAGGTTTTCAGACTCTTCTTGCTGACTTTTCTAGTACACAAAATGGGGCTTCTTTCTTTTGTCAGATTGTTATAAAAATTATAGAAAAATTCAGGCGTTAGGTAAGCCATGGTTACGTCTACCTACAGTGAATATTGACTTGATGGAAAATAACAACACCACTCTGCTTTTAAATGTTACATTTCACTTTGGAAACTCATAGATGGCTCAGTTGACAAGATAAAAGTTATGCACTTTGTGTCAAACTGAATTGAATTATGGCTTAAGTATTATGAACTACTACCTATGAATAAAGCATTCAGGTGCAGCTACTTCAACCTCATAACGAAACATTATTATGGAGTGTGTGAATCACGTGGATGAGAACTCACGCAGGAACTCCTGAAAAGTGCACATTAACCAGGAATCTCTGAACGTCAGAAAGTATTAAACATTATCTCAGAATAACTGCAGACCACATTGACAGTGATTGAACATTTTGTACATGTTCTCCTGCACATTTCTTGATGTGTAACTGAGTCATTTTTTAAAATTTACACCCTAATTGACAGGATGATTACTTTGAAGCTGTCTCTTCCCTCAAAGTCATGATTTCAGACCACACTTTGTTGAGTACTAAATGTTAAAGTTATGACCATAAAGTGTACTTCACTGTGTTTAATTCAAGACACTGCTAAGAATTACTTGAAATGCGTAAAGTGGACTAAACTGTTTTCTAAGACAAAATGATAGAGGTTTCAACAAATAAACCAATAAATCACAATTAACTGTTAAAATTCTGGGATTAATTGCAGTTTACTAAATGCTGTGATTTGTCATGGTTAGATAATTAATTGATTGATAGCAAAATAAGTAAATAAAGTCTGAAGCAAAAGGCCAATTTAAAAATTAGTAAGCTTATCTTTTTTTGCCGTGGGATGGTTAATCAGAATAGCTAGATATTGCAGACATTGACACTATCTTTTATTACAAAAAGTTGTAAATTCCTCAAGGTTTTGATTAAATCAGACTACACTTATTGTTGATAAAATAAAATCTGTGGTAGAAACAAAGGGTAGGCTACTCTGCTTAATTATAAGCATTGTAAAAATAAAAAAAGGACAAAAGATGAACAGATTCTGAAGAGATTAAGAAAGGATTTAGCAAAACCTTTTATCTACAGGGCTCTGCAGCTGAACTC